GTGTGTTTAAGCTAAATCTTTAGGGAACCAGATACAATAAGAATTCCAGAGAACAACATAGAGCACATAGAGGTGTCTAGAGACGAAGTGGAAAAAATGCTCAAGGAGCTCGGTAAGAACAAAGCAGCTGGTCCAGATGGCGTTTCACCATGGGTTCTGAGAGAATGTGCATCTGAGCTCAGCATTCCACTTCACCTGATCTTTCAGGCATCCCTGTGTACAGGAATCGTAGCAGACGTGTGGAAACAGGTTAACATAGTTCCAATCTACAAAAGTGGCAGCAGGGAAGACCCCCTCAATTATAGACCTGTATCATTGACAAGTGTAATAGTGAAAGTATTAGAAAAACTAATCAAAACTAAATGGGTAGAACACCTAGAGAGAAATGATATAATATCAGACAGACAGTATGGTTTTCGATCTGGAAGATCCTGTGTATCGAATTTACTGTTTCTATGATCGAGCCACAGAGATATTACGGGAAAGATATGGTTGAGTTGACTGCATCTATCTGGACCTAAAAAAGGCTTTCGACAGAGTTCCACATAAGAGGTTGTTCTGGAAACTGGAAAATATTGGAGGGGTGACAGGTAAGCTTCTATCATGGATGAAAAATTTTCTGACTGATAGAAAAATGAGGGCAGTAATCAGAGGCAATGATTCGGAATGGAGAAATGTCACAAGTGGAGTACCACAGGGTTCAGTTCTTGCACCAGTGATGTTTATTGTGTACATAAATGATCTACCAGTTGGTAAACAGAATTATATGAACATGTTTGCTGATGATGCTAAGATAATAGGAAGGATAAGAAATTTAGATGATTGTCATGCCCTTCAAGAAGACCTGGACAAAATAAGTAGATGGAGCACCACTTGGCAAATGGAATTTAATGTTAATAAATGTCATGTTATGGAATGTGGAATAGGAGAACATAGACCCCACACAACCTATATATTATGTGAGAAATCTTTAAAGAATTCTGATAAAGAAAGAGATCTAGGGGTGGTTCGAGATAGAAAACTATCACCTGAGGACCACATAAAAAATATTGTGCAAGGAGCCTATGCTATGCTTTCTAACTTCAGAATTGCATTTAAATACATGGATGGCGATATACTAAAGAAATTGTTCATGACTTTTGTTAGGCCAAAGCTAGAATATGCAGCTGTTGTGTGGTGCCCATATCTTAAGAAGCACATCAACAAATTGGAAAAGGTGCAAAGACATGCTACTAAGTGGCTCCCAGAACTGAAGGGTAAGAGCTACGAGGAGAGGTTAGAAGCATTAAACATGCCAAAACTAGAAGACAGAAGAAAAAGAGGTGATATGATCACTACATACAAAATAGTAACAGGAATTGATAAAATCGACAGGGAAGATTTCCTGAGACCTGGCACTTCAAGAACAAGAGGTCATAGATTTAAACTAGCTAAACACAGATGCCGAAGAAATATAAGAAAATTCACCTTCGCAAATAGAGTGGTAGACGGTTGGAACAAGTTAAGTGAGAAGGTGGTGGAGGCCAAGACCGTCAGTAGTTTCAAAGCGTTATATGACAAAGAGTGCTGGGAAGACGGGACGCCACGAGCGTAGCTCTCATCCTGTAACTACACTTAGGTAATTACTTAGGTAATTACACACACACACACACACACACACACACACACACACACACACACACACACACACACACACACACACACACACACACACACACACACACACACACACACACACACACACACACACACACACACACACACACACACACACACACACACACACACACACATTGATGGAATTACAAATAAAGCAAATGAGCTTGGAGAACTGGTACTCGAGGAAAACCCAGACATAATAGCCCTCACAGAAACAAAGATCACGAAAACGATAACAAATGCAGTGTTCCCACAGGACTATTATGTTATGAGGAAAGAGAGGGAAGGAAGAGGTGGGGGTGGTGTAGCTCTGCTGGTAAGAAAAGGCTGGGATTTTGAGGAGATGGATATTTAGGGCTGTGAAGGTTTCAGTGACTACATAGCAGGTACTGTAACAAATGGAGGGAAAAAAATTATAGTCGCAGTCATATATAATCCACCACCAAATGACAGAAGACCTAGACTGGAATATGATAGAAACAACATGGCCACCATTAACATAATAGAAAGAGCAGCTTCTGTTGCTAGCAGGAATGGATATGGACTACTAATTATGGGAGACTTCAACCATGGGAAGATAGATTGGAAGAACAGAGACCCGCATGGAGGACCAGAAACATGGAGAGCTAAGCTGCTGGACGTGGCAACAAGAAACTTTCTAAGCCAGCACACCAAAGAACCAACAAGAATGAGAGGAGAAGATGAACCAGCAATGCTTGATTTGATATTTACCCTAAATGAATGGGATATAAGGGAAGTTAAGATGGAAGCGCCCTTGGGAATGAGTGACCACAGTGAATTGAACTTTGAGTACTTGGTAGAGCTAGGACTTATCTCCCCCAAAAAAGAACTAGGAATCAAAAGGCTGGCATACCGAAAGGGGAATTATGAACAGATGAGAAGTTTCCTAAGTGAAATACCTTGGGACACAAACCTCAGAGACAAGTCTGTACAGGGTATGATGGACTATGTTACCCAAAAGTGTCAGGAGGCAGTAAACAGGTTCATCCCGGCCCAAAGGGAAAAATCCGAGAAGCAACAGAAGAATCCATGGTATAATAGGGCATGTATCGAAGCGAAGAAACTGAACAAAAAGGCGTGGAGGAACTTCCGGAATAACAGAACACCAGAAAGCAGAGAGAGATACCAGAGAACCAGGAATGAGTACGTCAGGGTGAGAAGAGAAGCAGAGAAAAATTTTGAAAATGATATAGCAAACAAAGCCAAGACTGAACCAAAGCTACTCCACAGTCACATCAGAAGGAAAACAACAGTGAAAGAACAGGTATTGAAACTTAGAACAGGCGAGGACAGGTATACAGAGAATGACAGAAAGGTGTGTGAGGAACTCAACAAGAGGTTCCAGGAGGTCTTCACAATAGAACAGGGTGAGGTCACTGTGCTAGGAGAAAGTGAGGTAAACCAGGCGGCCTTGGAGGAGTTCGAAATTACGAGAGAGGAGGTCAAGAGACACCTGCTGGATCTGGATGTTAGAAAGGCTGTTGGTCCAGATGGGATCTCACCATGGGTACTGAAAGAGTGTGCAGAGGCACTTTGCTTGCCACTCTCCATAGTGTATAGTAAGTCACTAGAGACGGGAGACCTACCAGAAATATGGAAGACGGCGAATGTGGTCCCAATATACAAAAAGGGCGACAGACAAGAGGCACTGAACTACAGGCCAGTGTCCTTGACTTGTATACCATGCAAGGTGATGGAGAAGATCGTGAGAAAAAACCTGGTAACACATCTGGAGAGAAGGGACTTCGTGACAAATCGCCAACATGGATTCAGGGAGGGTAAATCTTGCCTTACAGGCTTGATAGAATTTTACGATCAGGTGACACAGATTAAGCAAGAAAGAGAGGGCTGGGCGGACTGTATTTTCTTGGATTGTCGGAAAGCCTTTGACACAGTACCGCATAAGAGGCTGGTACATAAGCTGGAGAGACAGGCAGGTGTAGCTGGTAAGGTGCTCCAGTGGATAAGGGAGTATCTAATAGCAATAGGAAGCAGAGAGTTACGGTGAGGGGTGAGACCTCCGATTGGCGTGGTCACCAGTGGAGTCCCACAGGGCTCTGTACTCGGTCCTATCTTGTTTCTGATATATGTAAATGATCTCCCGGAGGGTATCGATTCATTTCTCTCAATGTTTGCGGACGATGCTAAAATTATGAGAAGGATTAAAACAGAAGAGGACTGTTTGAGGCTTCAAGAAGACCTAGACAAGCTGAAGGAATGGTCGAACAAATGGTTGTTAGAGTTTAACCCAACCAAATGTAATGTAATGAAGATAGGTGTAGGGAGCAGGAGACCAGATACAAGGTATCATCTGGGAGAGGAAATTCTTCAGGAGTCAGAGAAGGAAAATGACTTGGGGGTTGATATCACGCCAGACCTGTCTCCTGCAGCACATATCAAGCGGATAACATCAGCGGCATATGCCAGGCTGGCCAACATACGAACGGCATTCAGAAACTTGTGTAAAGAATCATTCAGAACTTTGTATACCACATATGTCAGGCCAATCCTGGAGTATGCAGCCCCAGCATGGAGTCCATATCTAGTCAAGGATAAGACTAAACTGGAAAAGGTTCAAAGGTTTGCCACCAGACTAGTACCCGAGCTGAGAGGTATGAGCTACGAGGAGAGACTACGGGAATTAAACCTCACTTCGCTGGAAGACAGAAGAGTTAGGGGGGACATGATCACCACATTCAAGATTCTGAAGGGGATTGATAGGGTAGATAAAGACAGTCTATTTAACACAAGGGGAACACGCACAAGGGGACACAGGTGGAAACTGAGTGGCCAAATGAGCCACAGAGATATTAGAAAGAACTTTTTTAGTGTCAGAGTGGTTGACAAATGGAATGCATTAGGGGGTGATGTGGTGGAGGCTGACTCCATACACAGTTTCAAGTGTAGATATGACAGAGCCCGATAGGCTCAGGAATCTGTACACCTGTTGATTGACGGTTGAGAGGCGGGACCAAAGAGCCAGAGCTCAACCCCCGCAAACACAACTAGGTGAGTACAACTAGGTGAGTACACACACACACACACACACACACACACACACACACACACACACACACACACACACACACACACACACACACACACACACACACACACACACACACACACACACACACACACACACACACACACACACACACACACACACTATATAGTGTAGTGTACTCTATATATCAAAATATATTACTTTGAATCCCGTATCAGTCACTAAAAAAAATTTGGGCTACTCTTATTACAAATTCGCTACTTTTAGACGGGCAGCTCGCTACTTTCAGCAACTTGGAGGTGGCAACCCTGGTCCAGTGTGACCCCGCGCCCGCTGCCTCTGGCAAGTCTACACCAAAACAAACTGCGGCTCATCTACCTCGAACAAATTACCAACAAAAATGTGCCTCTTTGAACAAATTAAGCTTCTCCACGAGAATGGACTCCATTCAAATCTTATTGCCCTGGTAAGGAAGTATATAAGAGGCATATTACATATTTAGTTTTGCTTGAAGAACCATTATCTGGAGACCACAATTTTGTTTTCTGTTACTAGATTAAATATTAGAATATAAAGACTTAAATATTGGCAGATTTTCATGATGTTATGAACTTGTAATAATAATGTAATTTAATATTCAAAAGTAATGCAGCTAAATTAAAAAAATGTTCTAAGAAATACTTTTGTCAGATTTATTTACACAATTTTGATGGCGTGCATATAACGGCGAAACCAGGACACCGAGTTTAATCTTGTAGCTGGGTTGATACCTGGTTATTACTCTGCCTATAGGGGTCACTGAAAAATGTAGGGAAATTTTTGGCCTTAAGAGTTGCAATATTTCTGTAAGACAACATTCTTTGACTGCCCAGGCTGATATACCTGGTTGATGGGGTTCTGGGAGTTTTTACTCCCCAAGCTCGGCCCGAGGCCAGGCTTGACTTGTGAGAGTTTGGTCCACCAGGCTGTTGCTTGGAGCGGCTTGCAGGCCCACATACCCACCACAGCCCGGTTGGTCCGGTACTCTTTTTAAAAAGTGAGTGCTCTAGTTTTCTCTTGAAGATGTCCGCGATTGTTCTGGCAATATTTCTAATAGTCGCTGATAGGACGTTGAACAACCGCGGACCTCTGATATTTATACAGTGTTCTCTGATTGTTCCTATGGCACCTCTGCTCTTCACTGGTTCTATTCTGCATTTTCTTCCATATCGTTCACTCCAGTACGTTGTTATTTTACTGTGTAGATTTGGGACCTATCCCTCCAGTATTTGGTGTCTGGCAAATATATTGCTTGGAGTCATTGGGAAGTTAGTATATTTCAAATTTTCTGGTTTGTTTTTTGATCACCTGGCATTTGCTAGGGTGAGGGTGATGGGTTTCTGGGTGATGTGATAATTAATTTGAACAACTGGGTTTTGAACTTTGTCATTTGGCTCAGGATGCTTAGATATTCTACTATAGCATTAAAATTCTTCTAAGAATTTTACTCTAACGACCCAGTGTAAATTATGGTTCTTAAAGTTTATATTGTCTGGGGGTCCTCTCGTCTCGAAAGCTAGTTTTCCATATACCTCTGTGCTGGTGAGTAGAGTATCACTCCTCATTTGAAGCACAGTCGTCAGGAGTTGCTGGGAATTTGCCACACAGTGGTGCCAAATTTGTTGCCTACCTGCCAGAAGTTAGGCAAAAATTTTGTAAAGAAACTGAATGATGGCTCAATTGGTACCTTTGTGGTGACTCCAATAAATCTCAAAATCTTCAATAACGGTTACAACCAAACTCATTTTTCAGAACTAAATGCTTGTTTTTTTTTTTTTTTTTTTTTAGGAAAAAATGAACACGGTTAATAGGGTACATTGTTACATAAAGTGTGTTGTTGACTGGGTTACGTAAGGATTTATCAAGAGTTTGTGCCTCTGTTTCATGCTTATTGTTTAGGGCAGAGGTCCTATCATCTATTCATAGCAATACCTATTGTGGGAAGAAAACAAAAGAGCACACAGAACACTGGAAAAATAAGGATGCTATATATAGCTGGAATAAAACTTGGAAATATGGTGAAGACAACAACATGGGAGTGTGGGTGAAATAAGGTGATGAAACCTGTAACTAGAGATGAGTGTGATAGTTATGGTGATAATGATGGTAGTGAGCACCAAAATATTCTGAATGGTTTGACAGTAACATTGTTTGCATGTTTCAAGATGCCAGAGTGGTTACAGAAAGAATCAGATGACCCTGGGTATGGTCTTCTGACTGAGGAAGAAATTACATCTAATCTTACTAGTGCTTGCTTATCAGGCAAGCACTAGGTGGAGGATAAGGATGATATACCCATGAAGGTAGACTTGAAAAAAAAGGTCATTGGTGTTGTTGATGCACTTTTTAAGGTTCAGTATTCTGTAACCTAAGTAAAGAAATTGATATTTTTTATTTATAATTTAGTTTGATCAATGAACATGTTTTGAATGTGGCAAATAAGAGTCAAAGATAAGTGAAAATGGACAGATGTGAGACCAAGCTCACCGCTTTTACAGAATTAGCAAGTAAATTCGGAGGCAGGACCCTCTTATTAAGAATCAACTGTAGTTTCCTCAAGCAGTACTAGTGCATTGCCATGACCACCTCTGCAAAAACAAAGATAGTTTTTTCAATGTAAATTACAGGTACACTTAACACTTTCATCCGGCGGCAACACAGTTTATGTCCATTAATAATCTCACGGATGTCCGGCGGGGACACATTTTGTCTGAAATTAATGTAGTTGTTTATATTCCATTTATTATTTGATTATTATGGGACTAGTTCTAAAATGCACACCTGTAGATTATGAACACTGTGATACCATAATGAACGACTTAACATGACAATTGAGGTCAGAACACTGGAAAAATAGAAATACCTGTAGTTGTGTAGTGATGAGCGTCCATAATTAAAATATTTGTTAAAAATTCCATTTATTGTTCAATTATTATGGGATTAGTTTTAAAATTTGCACCTTTATATTGCGAACAATTTGATACCAAAATGAACGATGTGACACGAAAATTGATGTTATCAAACTGAAAAGAGTAAACACATTTGTGTGCAGGTTTTGCGTGTGTGCCAGTGGGTGCTCACTCACAGGAAATGCTTGGCCAACTTCCGGCTGTACTGTGGGGGGTGGGGCTTCTGGACCTTATATACATATACCCCTGTAGAGAATTCTATTGCGAACAAATTGATACTAAAATGAACGACATAGCACGAGAATTGAGGTGAGAAAGCTGAAAAGAGTATACACACATTTAGTGCAGTTGCGCGCTCATGGGTAATGCTCAGCCGATTTTTGGGATTGGTGCGGGTGGCACACTGGACTTTTTGACCTTATATGCATATATTTCTGTAGGAAATTCTATTGCAAACAATTTGATACCAAAATGAACGATGTACTGTACCACGAAAATTGAGGTGAGAAACTGAAAAGAATATACACATTTTAGAGTGGGCGCATGCTCACGTGAAACGCTCGGCCCACTTTGGAGTGGGCTGGGGCGCGCACGCTGGGGACGCAAAAGTGTTAAGGTAAGTTTCTTTATTCTTGCAAATATATTTTTCTCTTTACAGGTGTAAGAATTTCCTAACAAGTATTGTAACAAGTATTGTATTGCAAATATTATAAAAAATTTAATTCTTAAACATATATTACTGTGCTAAGGGAAAACTCTTATCAATACTATATTCTATAATACAACACAGCAAAGAGGCAGTATGGTTTGTCTCTTAAAAAAAAAAATAATGTGCCATGGGTTTTTACCAACACCTGTTCCTAGGTTTGCCAATCCCAGCTTATTGGTTTACCAACACTTGGTATTGTTAATAAAGACATTATGTATTGAATCCTGAGGATGTTAAATACAGAAAGTATGACACTAAAATGTACTGTATGTACATAGAATTATAAATGTAAAATATAAAAAAGTATTTTTTGTATTTATTTAACATTCAGATGCTAAAAAATACAAGCATAAGATAAGAGGTTTATATAAAGGAGAATTTTAGTAGAAATCATAGAAATGTGATGTAAAAAAATTCATGTATTTGGTATCCTACAAAAACTGATAGGAAATGTAACATTGGTGTTCCCTTAACAACATTTAATAGAAGTTTATTCAGAAAAGACCAGGGTAAATGCTGGTTTGGAAGTGGGATTATAGAATTATGGAACAAGTTGGAACAAATTACTTCTTTCCCCTTTTCATATGTATTCACTCCTCTCACTCAGTCCCCCTCTACCTCTCCTTTTCAATTTTCCACTCCTTCTCTCTCATCCCTGTCCCATCTACCTTTCCACCACTATCCATTTACCCCTCCCTACCTTATCATCCCAAAGGTAGGTAAGGTACCCTCCACCAGCAGTTCGGCTTTCGGTAGCAATTTTTTAACCAGGTGGAGTTTGTTTTGGGATGTCTACATTTCTGGGTGCCTAACCCGGTCGATGGCTCACATGGAATGCTTCCAACCACATGGGGGGGTTTCCATAGGCCATTACTCCTCGTGCCTCTCTGAGGGGCCAGGTTCTGGCTCGTGGTCCCTGGTAGACAAGAACTCCAATCAAATTGACTGATGTCACAGTCTAATACATTCATATCAGCCCAGTAAGCTCCGAGGAGCCTCTGGAACTCGCCTAGGAAATGATGTTTCATTACATTCAAAGCTGATTTTGTCCAAAATATATTTAATGTTGTATTTTTCAGGGCTGCTTGGTACTAACTGTTGCAGAAAACCAGCCAGAAAATTCCCTGTTACCAGCAGCTCGCTACCAGACTCTTGTTTATGTGGGCCGTTCACTGCAAAATCAAGGTGAATACAGGCGGGCAGAAGCTACATTTAAGGAGGCGCTCCAGTATGCAAAATCAGCTGCCAAAACCAAGGTTGCCAAGACCTCAGAAATGTTCAAGGATGGGTTGACAGAGATAGGTGAGAAGCATTTGTAATCCTCTGCACTGTACAGTACAGTAGTTATTTAAATAAAAAGTTACACAAATCCATTAGAGTCTGTAGGGTCTCTTAACACTAACACACAAAGGAAATAAAACATTGCAGTCAGTAAGGTTTAATAAGTATAAACATGAGTCCAGTAGATCTACTGCTCTAGAAAATATTTGAAAAATAGGTCATATTAAATACAGTATATTCCCCAAATTACTGTAATTTACTCTAAGCCATTGTTAAATGATATTTTATTGTTTGTAATTATACATACTCATATACTTTATAAGAATTTTTAAAGATAATTATCAGGAGAAAGCACTAAGCCATTACAACTACTTAGCACTTAATTTAGGATTTAGGAGACGGAGGATAGGAATTATGCTCAACTACTTGGATTTGTTAGGATTGCATACCAACCTGCAAGAAGCGAGACCATCGCTCTACCATCCAGTCCAAGTAGTTTGAAAAGCATTTTTAATGTAGTAGTATTTATACATATTTTGTTCATATTATTTTCAACAAATTTAATTTAAAAAAATACTCTTGGATTTGGCCAACTGCAGAATTTCTGCAATTGTCTTGTGCATCCATTGTTGGCTGTATTTGTGATGGATGAAAAACTTCCAGTTTAGCTGGCACCATGAAGGAATGAGTCATTCAATTGGGCATTCACTACTACATATTCAGTGTTCAATAATTATTATTTCTTGCACTAATCCATTTAGTTTATTCTTTCCAAATTAACAGATGTAAAGTATGCTATGGCCGAGTGCAACATTGCTGTTCGACAGTTTAGTCAGGCTCTCACACTTTTGGAGTCCATCCCACAACGGCATCGCACACCCAAGGTCAATATGGGGTTGGGACGCCTTTACCAGCAGGCTGGAATGGAGAGGCCTGCTATAACAGCTTATAAGGAAGTGCTAAAAGTGAGTTTCACATCAGTTGCACAGGCCATTAATTACCTCTTATGATAGATTTTTATGGTTTTCTTTGTCTTCTTTAAAAACAATTAAAATTTTGCTGTTACAGTATATTTTAATTTGATTTCTCAAGAATGCATCACTCCATATGTAACACGAAATATGAAATCATGTTCTACATTTCTGTTAGATATGTTAAAGCGCTTAGACAAAAGGTTAGCTTCAAATAAATTATATTCATTATGGTGTTTACATACCCATAAATAATTTCAGAACTTCCTCTTGCAGCCTTCATTGGTGATTGCCTGGTCCAAGATCCCCATTACAGTAGAAACTTGTCAAGTTCTCTCTTGAAAGCTTCTGGTGTTGTTCCAGCAATATTTCCTATTCATGCTGGCTGGAAGTTGGAGAGTTTTCTTCCTATGATGTTTACTTTGTTCTCCAGTCATGCCTATGGCACCTTGACTTTCCATCAGAGATATTGTATGCTTCTTACAGTACAGTCAGTTCTTGTTCTAACAAACCTCACTCTATCAAATTCATAGACTATTTTAAGCAAACTTAAATGCAACATAATATTTTACAAATAATATACTGTAGATTTTAAAATATTTGAAAAATATAAAGAAAAGTACTGTATGTGCATAATGTCTAGACGTGAATCTAATAAATGTGTTGCACATATGTTATTTCCACATGTCTGTGCCCTATGAAATTTTAGTGCTTCTTCTTGTCGTCAGTTAAGATGGTGATGCATTTTCTCTCTTGGCTGTTTGTGGACTGTTGGCTGATGCCAAATACTGTACTGTTGTCTCTTATTGTTTGGCTTTGGCAAAACCTCTCATGTTAGCTTTTGATGTAGTCATCTTGACATAGAGAACTCTCCAGAGAAGACAACTCTTGCCGTGCAAGGGCTGTGCTAGGGAGCACATAGGGATGGTAACCCTAAGCATATGCATATCCAAGAAATCTTAAAGCCAGGCTTACACAACACTGCAGTGCACAAGAAAAGCCATCAAAAGCAAAGACCCAAAATCACTTAGCTGAACAATGGAACCTTCACAACAGAGGCTCGACCTGGAAACTACAGCCGTCAAGTGACCTTGACCGCATCAGCACAAAAACTGGATCCCTGGAGGTGGTGAGCACCTTCCCTGTCCCCCAAACGAGTAGGGGTGATGGGGCGAACACGGTCAGGCTATTTGAGAGATTAGATCATTTGTTTACATAGTTGGGAGAGTTCATTAGAAGGGTTTTTAGGCTTTGGTCTCTTTTGAACCCCAGCAGTTGTTTGCTTTGGCTCTCTGGGGGTCATTCCCGGTGAGATGGGGAAATGTCACTGCTCCCAGCGGCTCTTGAGGGGGGGAGCAGGTTCTGGCTCTGGTCCCCAGTAGGCCTTAAATCTCTACAGCTAATGGGAACCATCTCGGTGTATAGCTTCAGGAACCCACAAGGGACTCTCCCCAGAAGGCTACCCGTTCAACCAGCATTCCGAAGAAATTAATTCTGTTCAAGTAGGAGTATAAAAATGAGTCGAGGTGTTTCAGGTGATGTTCAACATTTAGAAACAGTCACATTAAATATTTGTTTCTCTTTCTTATAGGAATGTCCACTGGCACTAGAGGCTGTCCAGGAACTTCTCAGTCTTGGAGTTCGAGGAGCTGAAGTAGCATCTCTTATGATTAATATTCATGGAAACTCAGCAGGAACAGAGTGGTCAGTATAATAGAGTATTGTATATTCATGCTGTTATTTAATGCTTCGGCTTACCTTTTTCTTTTATTGTAAGGGTCTTGTTTGGGATTGGTCTTTTTTGATTAACATTTCACAGTCCCTTGTCATGCTTTATTTCCTTAGCATTATATTTTCTTTGTAGAGCTAAATGTTAATTTTATAAGTTTAAATTTCTCATTTAAATTTTTGTACAGAAGTTAATTAAATGCTCTGCTATTTAGCCTCCCACAATGACTCATAATTTAGGCACCACCTTTCCTTTCCATCACCATCTTCCCTACCCTACGTATTGATCATATCAACTCATTTTTTTTCTTCTAGCTTATAGCTTTGGTATATTTAACACCTCTAGCCTCTCTCATAGCTCTTGTTTTTTATTTCTGGAAGCCATTTAGTTGCATGTCTTTTCTCATTAAAAATTTGTTCCAGATTTGTATATTTTTCTCAATTGCCACTGTACACCTTGTATTAATGTTTACACCTCTGTATGTTTATGGTACAGGTATTGGGGAAATTACTGTATTTGCATGGCTCTCTCCAGCACTACCACCTAATTATGATGCAATGATCCTGCAGCTCTCTCAAACCGTGTCGTGTGTGTGTGTGTGTTTTATGTAAAAGCATGCAGATAGGACAGAGGATGGAAATGCCTCCTTTGTCCATCCTTGAGAGTTGGCTAATATATAGTTTCCTGTTTTCAGGTTGTCTCTCTGGGTTAAAGGTCATGCATACCTACATAGCCGGGATTATTCAAATGCCATAAATTCCTTCAAACAACTGGAGGAGAATTCTGCTCTTAGTAGAAATGTTGATATTTTAGCTACCTTGGGAGAAACATATTATCTGGCTGGGGACTCTAAGAATGCTCTCACATTGCTTCAGAGGGTAAGTTGGTGTGGAAATAACAGGTGGTAGTGGTAGATGCACTGTCCATTGATGAATTGCTCTTTTTCTTCCATGAATTTGTGCTACAAATTCACAAAGGCCGTGATGAGGGTTCGAACCTACACACGTGATGTTCCGAGCTGCGCCTTGGTCAACTGTGCCACAACAGTTGACTAAGGTGCAGCTCGGAACATCCTGTGCGTAGGTTCGAACCCTCATCACGGCCCTTGTGGATGTGTTCATTTGATATTTCACGCTATTGTGATCTCTGCTTATGCTACATTTTCAGTAAATGTTTGCTTATGATAAACAATTTTAATTGTGATCAAGAATTATATAATAGCATGTTGCTTTTGTTAGAAAATTCAAGAATATAGATGGAATTTTTTAAAAACCATTATTTGCTGAAGTCATATTACTCATCTACTGAGTACAATGTATATAAAATTTTCTCCTTTTGGTAGATGATTATTATTCATGTGTTTATCTGATTCCAGATAAACCCAATACAGTTGGGTTTATCAATATAAAAAAATGTAATGGTAGAGTAATTTTATATCTTTAGTATTTTTAGACAAATTAATCACCCCTTTTTAAATGAGCAAAAATAGTTTTAAATACAAAAAAATTAATTGGCCCCTTTTTATACTAAGCTGTTGGATTGTTGAGATAAGCTCAAGATATCCAGGATACTATCTCCTATTCATGACAGAATACTGGCTCCTGGTTGTGGAAAAATAGTGGAATATTATTGGAATGGATCCCGAGTGCAACTAAAAGCTGGTTTTAATATTGGTATATGTAACCTATTGCATTAGAGGGTGGAAGACTACTATTAGTCTGGTCATGTGTTGAAGTTAAACATACACAAATTTAAAAAGCTATACAGTACTTAATTTACTGTTGGCATGATTTTGGCATCAGACAAAGTGCTAGTACACGTTGTATAGTTCCAACACCTTATTTCTAATCACTATTAACCCTCAAAGTGTGGTCATCGTGATGTGCTGATTATCTAGTACAATGCAATTGCCATTTTGTCATTTTTGGATACTGATGTTGCTCATGTGGTTCCAATATCTCGGTGGTGACTCCCAGCAGTCATGGAAGACTAGAAAATAATTTGGAGTTAGATGTCCTTCAGCTCCTGGTCTCCCATCATTATATTGGCACTTACTGGGCCAACAAAAAGATCTTCACTGTATGTTTCTTTAGGCATACCTTTTAATTCTGCATGCTGATTCTTACATTTAAATATATTTCACATGAAAAATATACAAGTTGTTTTTGTCTGGTCTTGGCTCCCCTCACAACATAATACCACTATCCAGATAAAATAAGGGTACATATATGCTTTTTTTTTCTTTATTTTTTAATACAGATCTGCCATTTTGTAAGAAAAACAAGTTAAGTAATAATTCATTTTTTATTTAACTTTTTCTTATGTTGGGCATAACAGAAATTACTCCAGGAGGCCCTATTACCACACAAATCTTGCACTCTTGCAAGTTCTCTGATTTTTTCAGTATTTTTTTCACATACAGCACTCTTTCCTTTCTTTCAATGGTCATCTGTCTCTGGCATATGACGCACTTTTTATTTATATTTTATTTACCCTACTCATTAAACAATTCTCAGGCATTCTTCAAACATGTCCCTACCACCCCAAGAGTTTTGGGCCTCCTCACTCCACCATCTCGCATTTTAATTCATCACTCATTTGATGACCAAATTACACATCAGAAGATGAAGAAACAACAATGTTTCGGTCTATCCTGGAACATTATCAACCTTGTGCCACAAAATCAAATCAGTCCCAGAACCTGAGATGAATATGGTTGTGCCGATATGCATCCTTGAGGTCCAGAGACACCATCCAAGCTCCAGCCTATAAAATCAGGCTCACTTGAGCCAAGGTGGTCATGCGGAATGTTGAACAGGGTATAAAAGTGTTCAAAATAGAAGATTGAGGTTTTAAAATAGGTCCACCGACTCCCTCTTTGGGACTGGAAATAACTGACACCCATCAAAGGGATGAGGTTAATTCGACCATCTCTGAGGCCAACCATCCCACATGACCCAATTTAGAGCCAGGGAGGATACCCGACCCAAAAGCCCAGATCCCAAGAAAGGGGAAGAGACTGACTAACTCCACTGCAGACCACAGGAAACTACCTGAAAAGCCCACAAATTGTGGAACCAGAAACTGGCAAAAGGAGGCAGATCTTTCCCACCCCAGTGGCGGCATCAAAGGGGTGAACTGTGAAAGGGCCAGCACGTACCACGTGTGGAACCACCCTTTCACGATGCATAGTTGTGATGTCTAGCATAAAAGGAACTCTCAACAGTTCCTTTCAAAAACTTGTCAATAGCTGGCTGTCCATCCCCAGGGCCTTGCCTGTCAGGCACACTCCTGAATGCTCCAGGGAAAAACATTTGTCAGTGTAGCGGCAGTGCTGGCGGGAACCATAAGAAGGAACCCAGAGCACATGCAGCCTGAATCACAACAAAGCCAAGCCCAAACAAGCCAGATAAAAAATTTATATGTAAAGCAAAAACTAAAATATAAATAGTACAAAGCAAATAGCTCCTGCAGGAACAAGTTCAAACGGCTAGCACTTAGGTTGAAGTAGAGGGGCGTGCGACATTTGAAAGACCCTGAACAGTACTGTCCAGCTAGACATTGGTGAATGAACTGAGTAAGGAATGAAGATGGGCTGCATGTGGAAGCCAGGCTGCCTGATGCTGGCATTCTGTAGTATGAGTTTCACACCAATTTTGAACCTTTCTCTTCTGTGTGAATCAATTGCAAAGTTGCTTGGTGATTTCAAGGCTTCAGTTTTTATTAACCCTTCACTTGTGTGTAAAGGTTTACCGAGTTTCTAGATGCTTTCCTGATGTGGTAGTAAATTGTCCTCTCTCTCTCTCTCTCCAGCCCATCTTCTTGAATTGTCACAACAACACAATAATGATGTAGTAGATTGCCCTAAAGCTAACCAAACTGAAGACCCATGAATAGAAAATATGATTGGCTGTCAATTTTGCAAGCTGCTGTGATTTATAGTACTGTACATATGTTGACTGTGGGGATTTATAAATCAAAATGTGATGTACTATTTGAGAGGACAGATTGTGCAATCTGCACCTCTGTGAGGGGAGCCAGGTTTTGGTTTTGGTTCTCGGGAGGTCAAACAGATTTCCTACATTTGATGTGACCCATTTGCCTGAAGCAATCTCAGTGAGATAGCTTCAGGGAACCACTTCAGGGAACCACTGGGTGCCACTCGCCTGAAATTGCAGTATAAAATCTGTATTCATTTTGAGATATTTTAATCTGTTACATTCTTTTAGGCTCATTCAGTCAATCATCTCAACTTGCGTGGTTCCGACTTACTGGCATGCTTGTTGGCATCAGACAAGAGGAATCGTGAGTTGGAAGAACTGGCTATGGCAACAACGGCTGTGACTGATGCAGCACCTCAACCATGGATCACAATGGGCTATTACTGCCAGCTTAGTAAAAGAACTACAAAAGCCATCTATTTTGCACACAAAGTAAGTATATTATTGGTAGTGCATTATTTACAAGATATTGTTTTTATTCAAAATATTTTTTCTTTAAATGTTATATAGCGAATCGTGTGGGGTATATTTATCACCGACAGTACGAGCAAACCAGCAACATATGTTTCCCAAACAAGGAGAAGATCCGTGAACAAATGTTCAATATATGTAATTTATGTTCAGTAAATATTGCTTTGATATTGAGAATTGTAATGAGTCATTTTGTTTTTATTTTTTGGTACACATTGAAGTGAGGCATGTGAACAGGATTGATTCATGAAATATGTCTGTAATGGGTTCATGCTTGAGCCTGTATTGGGAACTTTGGCAAAGAGTTTTCCTTTTCTCACTGCTTGACCTCTTTCTGTTTTGATAGCTGGTCTGTTGCCCTGCAGACCCACAACTATTATAACTCTGCAGATCAGGCACTTCTTGTAGAAACCTTAACCATTGTCTGTCACAAGAACAAAAGTTGTTCTGAAAGAAAAGTATATTTTTTTTACATTGTTAATTAGAATCCAGGAAGAACAGTTTAACTAGTGGGGTGAACAATATGGCAGGAAATGCAGAATAGAACCAGTGAAGAGCAGAGGTACCATAGACACAATCAAAGAACACTTTATAAATATCAGAGGTCAACAGTTCTTCAACATCCTCCCAGTGAGCATAAGAAATATTGCTGGTACAAACATGGATGTCTTCAAGAAAAAGCTGGATAGTTTTCTTCAGGAAATGCCAGACCAACCGGGCTGTGGTGGATGTGGTCAGCTCCAACCAACAGCCTGTTGGACCAAGCTCTCACAAGTCAAGCCTGGCCCCGGTCCAGGTTTGGGGAGTAAAAGAACTCCCAGAACCCCATCCAGGCACAATCCAGGTACTGAAGGAAGCGTCCAGAAAGTCAGTGAGACTTTACAGACAACTGGAGGGTTCACAGAAAACTAAGCTTCAAAACTGCCAAATATCTCCACAAACAATTCACACAGAACAAAGGAATCTGTTGCTGATGCCATACAGACTAGTACAGCTTATAGTACTACCAGTCTGTCAGATTGTAATTACCTAAGTATAATACCCAGGTCACAGAGATATACTAACGTAATTGAGGAAGCACTATTCCTAAGAGGATACCAGGTAATATTAACCCTTAACATGCTAGGGGTATAATATCCTTTCTTCCCACAGGCGCATGTAATTTTGAAAAAAAAAAAAAAAAATTCTTCCTAACCTGTTAATTTGTGTTCATTGATCACGGGAAAAATAATAAAAAAATCGTAAGTGGCATATATTGCCCGCTATAGGGCGGGGAAGTCTGGCAAAAAATAGGCGCTGACTCAGCGTGCGTCTCAGGCGGCCTGTTGCTCGCCAGCTGTCAGGCCGGAGTTGCCACAAAGAGATAATTACCTAATTATTTCAATATCTCTGATTGATTTTTCATAGTTTTTTTGCTGTAATATTATTCAATAGTGTGTAGTTTGATATATTTATATAATAAAATGAGTGAATCATTGCTGTACTCTAAAATATGGTGTGCATATTGTTGATTCAATTATGTTCATCAATCAGTGAACAAATACTTTGTCGGTTATTACACTAAAAGCACAGGTTATATATAAGTATCTGCATGTTTTGTTCACTATAACGAACCACTAAGTAGCTATTATGAGTCAAAAAGTAACGAGGAGTGACCGCCGTGTACCAGCTCCCGCCCTCCCTCAAGTCATCTGACTCACCCACATTCTCCTCCCACAATACTGTTTTTGCTATAATTCACTATATACAGACGTTATATATAAGTATCTACATGTTTTGTTCACCATAACTGTACATCTAAGCTTGTATGGTGAGTAAAGGCACAAAGACGTAGGACCTCACACAGTCAGTTGATGGCTGCCGCCCTCAAGGCCAGACACACTAATATTTCTCCTCCAACAATACTGTGTGGTGTTATTACGCTATATACACACATTATATATAAATATCTACTTGTTTTATTCACCATACTTGTACAAATAAACTGGTATGGTGCCCAAAGACCATCATGGTAACCAGTAAACAACACCACCGTCGTCTGCACAGTGGCGTCGTGCAGACGACGCCACCGCCCTTACCAAAATGGCGGCTCCCAACCTTCTCTTGCTGTTTATACCCTCTATACACATGTTATATATAAGTATCTACATTTGTGTTCACCATAGCGAACCACTAAGCTGGTATGGTGAGTGCAGTCAATTAAAGGCGGCCACACACACTCAGAAGACATCGCCACCACCCTCCCTCCCACAGCATTACTCCTCCCGCCATGGCGCACAACGCTAAATATCACCACAATCCTGCTATTATCAGAACCCTGGTCAGTTTTATCACAGTCAGGTGTCTTCAGTAATAATATCATCGCTACATAAGAGCATGAACAAGTATATTTTGGCTTTTTTAGGCGATGCTGTGGTCACAAGCTGAACAGCAGTGCTGTTAGCTCATGCTGCGTGCATCAGGCTTGGTTGCTCACTCAATACTGAGGCCAATAACACCTGGGAGTTTGGCCCACGATTTTTTTTTTAAATGGCGTCTGTTTACAAGAGCCCTGATGAAGGTGTGATGAACCCCGTGTATCCGTGGGCCGTTTAAATCTTGCGTAGTACTCCAACACGTCATATGACATGATGCGCACTGTAAGGGTTAAAAGGAAAGATATAAAGGGGGTGAAGAAGTAGCTTTACTGGTACAAGAACACTGGGGCTTCGTAGAGATAGAGATCTTGGAGGTAATCAACCAGAAGGATTTATACTGGCCATGATAACAGTGAGGACTATGAAGATAGTATTATTTACAATTCTCCATCACAGGAAGGTCAAGGGAGGAATATGATAAATACAAGAAAACATGCCTGAAAATAGTAGAAAAGATGGCCTCAGTGGCAAGGAGAGCCAGAGCAAAGATCCTAACACTTGGAGATTTTAACCACAGGGAAATAGACTGGTATACAAAGGATCCTTGCAGGGGAGTTGAAACATAGAGAGCAAGATTGTGGCAGCATATCAAGTAGCCAACAAGAAAAAGAGGTGATCAAACAGCTACCCAAGACCTGGTGTTAATCCAAGATAAAGACAATGTAGAGAATTTAAAATTTGAGGTACAGTACCACTAGGAGCCAGTGATCACTGAATATCGTGTTTGATTACATTGTAGAACTGAAAGAGATATTAAAAAAAACGGACAAGGTGCAAAAAGAATACATTAGAGGGAATTACAGGAGTGTTATGGATTATATACAAGAGGTTCATTGGGAGACTGAAATAAAAGAAAAGCTAACAAATGAGATGATGCAACTTATAACAGAAATGCAAAGGCGTAATATAACAGTTCATACCTCTCGGGAGGAAGGTGGATGAAAGGAGAATGGCAACTCCACGGCTCAACAATGTAAAGAGGGAAAAGAAGACAGAAAGGGCATGGAAAAAGTACAAGAACGTGGGTACAGAGGCAAATAGGAAGGCACTAAAGAGGGCTGGGAAAGAGCACACAAGAATCAGGACAGTAGACCAGCAGTTTAAGAATGACATTGCGGCAAAAGAGCTAACCTTGTTGCACAGCCATGTATGGAGGAAAACGATGGTATGAGACCCTGTGATTAGACTTCTAATCTGTAAATTAACATTAGAAACATGCTTTTAGATGTTCTCTTAAAATACTGGGACTGTCTTGGCCATGCCTTCACCTAGCTGTATGGCAAATAGGAAACATTGTTACCAATTTTAAAAAATAAGTTAATTAAAATGTGAGCGCAGTATTTTATTCCAGGCTTACCATAGTTAGGGTGTTTAACCATGTTAATGATCATTTGCCTTGTTACCTGCAGGTGCCTAATTTTCTTCAAGTAGTTGCTTGTTTTGTTTCACTCACATTTTCTATATTTCTCTTGTTTTTGGGTTGATATCTAGTTCTCAAGCTCCCTTCACCTCATAAAAAGAGCAAGATTCTCCTCCTGGTTTTCAGTAGACAATGGCAGGTTTCAGAGGATGGGTGTACTGTGTCTTCCTAAGGCATGGCAGCACCAGCACTTGGCTTGGGGAGCTACTGAGGAGGCTCTTCCAGAAAGGAAGAAAACCCTTATAAAAAATGGCTTTGGCAATTAAATAACATTTTAATTAACAAAAACTTTGGTGATTATTCTTATTGGTGGTTTTTATGAGAATGGTGTATGCCCTGGGAACACTTAGTACCTGGTATTGTACAAGACCCATATTTTTGTTAGACATTAGAGACTTTTTTTGTAACTATGTTAAATCATCCTTATTAATGTTATATTCAGAAATAGCAGGTCTTTTTCTTACTATAAATATAGTAAAAGTGCAAAATATAAATTTTAATTTCTGGGGGAGCCCTGGAAGCTCCAGGGAGCCTCCGGGTCTCACCCAGAAAATGGCGTTTCATTACATTCAACGCTGGTTTTTTGTATCTACTTTTCTTCCCTTTGTGGGAAAAACAACTTTCAGGTTGTCACAACCAAAGGTCTAACTGACAACTTTGTCTCTACCCAGGCAAATGTGTGTTTGAGTGTACACTTCCTATAATCTTTGTACTTCCTCTACTACATTACATTGCCATGTGCTTATCCTGAGATATACAAGCTCAGGGATACCAAAATCACATGGAAAAATATAATTAATAAAATAAAAAATATAGCTTTGTGAACTTAACGTTTATGGGCATCAAATTCTAATTCACTGGATTACCTTGTTTATATGGACTCCAAATTTATTGCAGTAACCCTGTTTTATAATTCTATTGGTGCATGCAATTACTTGTTGGAGTGGGTTCAAGTGAAGCAGTACTGTACTACAGTACTAACACATCATTATTCCAGGCTTGCTCTATCAACCCACGCAGTGTTGAAGGTCTTCTACTGAAGGGGACATTGCTCTTGGAACTCAAGAAGTTACAAGAAGCTGTCATGCATTTCAGAGAAGCCATGCAAATTGCACCACACAGGTTTGAACCACACAAGGTAAGTTAGAAAGTACCATTTAATTAAGTACTTACTGATGATATTTTGAGGTGGCACATAATCTGAAATACAATTTATTTTATTACATGGGCCTGGTGTTATTGGTTATCCACCTTTTCTAAACAGGGATTAGTAGATTGCTATTTGGCAATGCATCGATCCAGAGAAGCTGTGACAATAGCCAGCAATGCAAGCAAGTTGCTTGGCCAAACTCCAAGAGCTCTCACTGTAAGTTTTTATATTTTTCACTTTACCAATCATAATTGTTGTAAGATTTCTGTTAGCAAGTTTGCTTTTAATATTCTTCACTGTGTAGTGGACCATGGCACAGGATAGGTTAATTTGTTTTCTCTAGATCTTCTGTACAACAGACAAGGCCTTTTTCTTTTTTTCTTTCTTTTCTCTCTATTTTTCTCTCTCCCTTTTCTGGTGGTGCTGATGCTCCTAATAAAACAGCAAGTTTTTAAGTTTATCCTACATCTTATTTGCAGCCTGACACTACAGCCTCATTTGCTTGGTATGTTTGCTATTTGTATCCTTTAGGAGTAAACTGAATTTAAGGCAAAGTTACTATCATGTAAGGTACATGCTGAACCAGAAAGTCAACTGTGTGCCACAGCCTTCATTTGGTCAGTTGATGCATATTACATTTTCAGCGAACATTTTCCAAACGTTAGTAAGCCTAGGAATGAATGAGTGCTAGTAGAGTGATGCCCTATTAAATGGTACAGCCAGGAATCTCTTCCCTGCTCCTCTCACTCGCCCGTGCACATGCATGCAAGTGTTCATCGGTGGAAGCTGGACATGTAATTGAGGCGTAGAGATGTAAGGGAATTCTTGTACTATTTACAGGTGGTCAGCAAGTGGAATATATTAAAAGAAGAAATTGTCAAAGTCACTTCCATCCATAACGTTAAGAAAAAATTATAGAAACTTTAATGTTTAAAAAGGCGATGTATAACCATGCCAGTAATATAAATATATAGGCGATATATAACCATGCCAGGTTATATATCGCTAGTATGTGAGGCATAAGGTGCTAGATCTCACTCCCTCACGGTCACTGATAGATAAGTACGTACAGGTAAGCACATGCTTATACAGAAATGTCAGTTTTCCATTTTTGTGGTTCCCTGAATAAGTTACCAATAAAGTTAATGACTAGTCTAAATAAATTTTGCAATAAGGGTGTGAGAACAATGACCAGAGAGGGATCGCCTAGAAAGAAATGTCTAGTTTGCCCTGTTGCTGTCCATCCTTGTGACCTGTACAGATCATGGGCCCAGTTTTTTTTTAATTTTTTGGGAGGCAATTGAGCATTCATTCCCATTATATCTTTGGCTACAAGCATCAGCAAAATTTAAGAATATTTATGAATTCATCTTTTTTTTATTAGTATTATATTCATGCATTCATTCTATTCTTTCCATATTCTTATCTTTCTCTTACCTGCTCCTTACCCCTCTTTTCACCCTATTATGCTATATATTTCACTGTACCTTCCTCTCTTTTGTTACACGACTTGATAATGGTCCAAGATGGAGCAAAACATTATCGTTTCTTCACGTTCTGATATGTGGTTTGGTCATCATTAATGTATGTGAATCATGAATGTGGTTAATGTGGGATGGCTTCATCAATTAATAATTCAGTTTCACGATTTTTTAGTGACATAACCAAGGGAAATATTCGGCTTTGTCATTTGCACTCAATCCAAATATAAAATTTCTAGTTACCCTTTCTTTAAATTAATACAGTAGTGTATCTGTTTATCTGCCCTTGTAAGTATATTTTGATTCCTATATACAGTGTTTGTTTTTGTTACAGTTATATGCATCTGTTCTACTGAAGGACACTTTGACAATAAGCAAAGGGAAAACACTTTTAGAAAAGGCATTAAAAGAAGACCCATACCACCTCCCAGCTGTTTACCTGCTATGTGAATTATATGAACAGGTATGAGTGCTTAACATTTATTTGTTTAATGTAAATGTGTAATTTCAAAAACCTACTTGCCCATTAATTTATAGTCAGCCAGAGAGCAATGAAATAGTAAAGTATACTTCTATTATTAATCTTTAAATAGCTCCAGTCATTATCTGTGATTACCTCCTCTGCTAGAATCAGCAAATGGATTTTTTTTTGGACATTAGTTTTGTGAATTATTTTTTGCCATGCACACCACAGTGTAGGACTTTTAGTTAGCCGAGTAATTGAAAGATTAAGATATTTTTGTAGAATTTTGTCAGTGTTTTTGCTTGCTTGTTTGCAGCTGTGTGTTCCTAGGGTACATCAGGTGTGGTTCTTAGTGAGTCATTCCTGTGCCTAGGTTTCCTGCTTGATTTTTAAGCCTTTAAGTCTTGGTAAACCCCTCGCTCTGTCTGATATAAACCGGTTCCCTCAGCTGCTCTTGCTGTGGGGGGGGGGGTTGCAAGTTTTAGAATTCCTTTGTCTTATTTTTGTGCCAATAGATCATTCTTCCACCTCCACTAGTTGCCTGTGGGCAACCCACCCTCCTGTTAAGATAATTCTGTACCTATTGTGATGATCATCAATAGTCATAAATTCATACATACAGAGGAGCCTCGATTAACGAATTTTATCCGGCACAGCACCGAGCTCGTCATGTGAAACGCTCATCTTGCGAAACAAATTCCCTCATGAAAAATAGTGGAAATAAAATTAATCCATAGTTTCCCCATCGAAAAACATCAATATGATATTTCATAGAAAATGGAGCAGCCTACCTGACATACACAGAATGAACCTTTTTGACATTTTTTCTTTTTTCAAAATTGTTCAAATTGTTTGTCTTTTTTCATTCCTCCCCTCCCCCCTCAGGAAGCAGCCCGTAACAGCTGTCTAACTCCCAGGTACCTATTTACTGCTAGGTAACAGGGGCATCTGGGATGAAAAACTCTGCTTATCTGTTTCCGCAGGCACCGGGAATCGAACCCCAGACCACAGGATTATGTATCCAGCGTACTGTCCACTCAGCCACCAGCGCCCTGTGTAACTGTGTCAAAGGCTTTCCGACAGTCAAAGGAAATGCAGTATGCCCACTCTTCTCTTTTTTGTTTCATCTTTGTCACCTGGTTGTAGAATTCTATTAAACCAGTGAGGCAAGATTTGCCATCCCTGAACCCCATGTTGGGGGTGTGTTACGAAGTCCCTTATCTGCAGATGTGCTGCTAGGTTTTTTGTCACGATCTTATCCATCGCCTGACAACTGGGTGGACTAGCGCTTCGGATTCGTAGTCCTGAGGTTCTGGGTTCGATTCCCGGTGGAGGTGGAGGCGGAGACAAGTGGGGAAAATGTATCTTTCACCCTGATGCCCCTGTTACCTAGCAGTAAATAGGTACCTGGGAGTTAGACAGCTGCTACGGGCTGTTTCCAGGAGGGGGAAGGGGGTTAACAAAAAGGAGACCTGGTCAAGGACCAGGTCGCGGGAACGCTAAAAGCCCCGAAATCATCTCAAAATAACCTCAAGAGATCACCTTGCAAGGTACACAAGTTAGGGACACTGGCCTGTAGTTCAGTGCCTCATGCCTGTCACCCTTTTTAGGACTACATTAGCTGTCTTCAATATATCTGGTAGGTCTCCTGTTTCCAGTGACTTACTATACACTGGTGGTGTGAATTGTATTGGGTGGAGCTATCCAGGATTTAGCATCAGGGAAGCTTTGAAGAGTCCCACCAGAAATAGGCATTTCATTACATTCAATGTTGGATTTTATTTACAGGATATGCGTTACGAAGCTGCAATAGAATTATTACGTAAACAGGTTGCAGTACAATCAACTAGTCGTCTTCATCAGATGCTGGCAGACTTTTTTTCACATGTTCATGATGAGGAAAAGGCTGCACACCATTTTGGAATTGCATTGAAGTAAGTATTATTTAATGTTACAATAGATAATAAGCTTCATTGGATTATGAAAGTCTCATTATCTTCACTAATGAGACTAGCATCCAGTTGTAATAAATCAGTCATTTTAGAGCCTGAAAATGGATTTACAATTTACAATTTTGTTTAATTTCATCAAAGATTGACAGTTTAGTGTATGTGCTAATGCTAAAGATTGCTTCATAAAAATGTTTGGGAGCTGTGGCAGCTTAGGTTTTAGCATGATTTTAATACTGTACTCAAGATCTAAGTTTTGATTAATGTTGATTCCATCAGCCATGAACCTAGTAATACTCGTGCCTTGGAAGGAATGCAGAAGATGGAGGCTGCTCCTGATGCAGTTGAAGCTCCTCCTTATGACATGGAGGTGGAGGATATAGCTGATTCTGAGGTAAGATAATTTAACCTAATTGTCTTCTTATTTTTTCTTTAAGTCATTTTATTCTTTAAACTGATAGTGTATTGACTTGAGTTGCAAAACAAAATTTTGATTTCAGCTCAAATGTGATATCTGAGATTATAATTCTGATAAATAAAATAAATTGGTAACCTTAAAATTTTACAACAAATGACTAGACATCCAGTATAGGTTTCAGCAGTTGGTGTGCATTTGCCACTTTGTTTGTGATTCTGTGTATTAACTCTTTACATCACCCCAGCCCCCTTTAGTTCATTCATTCATTATCCTTCATCATTGTCCAGTTTCCTACTTTTCATGGAAGACATCTGCCCTGAGGAAAAAAAAAAAGAGGAACAAGAGTCAATGAAGGTTAAATTAAGTAAAAAGATGTCACTTGTTTATTACATTATGACTTCAGCTACCTGGAGTAATACTTTGCTATACAGTACTATGACCATTTAGTGAGGCAGGGAGATGATTCACGTAAAAAGATTTGTCTGTTCTGTATCCTTCAGTAGTTATCTTTAGTTAAAGATACTGAATCATTAGAGTTGTTAGTAACAATTGGGCCTTTAACTTTGAATGAATACTAAACACCTTGGACCAAAATCTGGTATTACCACATAGGTGAGGAAAGTGTAGGGATCATAGATCAACCCCACACCACAGTGAATTTCACAAAGTCAAACCATCAACTGAACAATTCAACACTCATAGAGGCAACAAACGACACAATTTGAAAACCTGTCACCTGGTAGTTTTTCATGTATCACAACCCTTGCTTCAAGAACCCATTACCCTTCACTAGGTAGCAGCTCAGGTCTCGCTGAGTTCCGTGCCAGCTGTTCCCTCACTCTCGAGCCTTATTTGTTCTAGTTTACTAGTACCTACTAAAGGTGGGACATCAGTCTTGAACCTAAACTAAGCAGGTTTTTGCCTTTTTGAGATGAACTGTTCCACATAGAGAACTTTGTTGCTATTACTAATATTATCATATATGATTTCACAGTTGTGTAAATGCCAGCCACATTTTATATCTCCAGTAATTTCAATCACTGTGGTTTTTAACTAGGCTTCTCTTCCCTAGTACCTGCTCGTGTTCCATTGGCCACCCACTCTGAGAGTTTGGATTTCTCCTCTTAGGTATTCTTATTTTGTTACCCGTGTCCTAGATTATGTATGGAACTTGGTCACACTGCAAAATCTGATTTCTCTAATCAAAATCTATTTCAGGGAGAAGTGGAAGAAAGTGATCTTGAAGCTGTTTGGTCAGATGTGGACTTTTCATTTAGTGGCCAGTAGCATAGTACCATCTGAAATGTTTACCACATGGTCAACAACTAAAGTCGCACCAAGTTGCCGATGCTGCATTTGCTGTGAGCATAATCTGCGTAACTGATTAGTAGCATACTTTTGTACACAGTATTTGTAATTTAGTGACAGGAAAACTTTGTCCTTGATTTACACACAAAATCATATATGAATATTTATTTATTGTACTACCCATCTTAGGACATTGTATTTATGCAGCATTTTCACATGCATGTAGATATAATTGAGGATGTTAGGATTTCAGTGCTGTATTTTATTTATTTGATGAACAAATTATGCTTATTAATACAAGAAACACGGCATCATGTATAAAGTGCGGCATCATAATGTATTTATTTTTCTACGTAGACCTTCCTTTAAAAGTCCAGTATACAATGTTCATTGTGATATTTTGTCATTACTATATAAATGTTCTTAGAGATGCTCTTATATCTCATTTGTTTCATGATTATTTGTTTGCAATTCTACTGTTTTTGTTCCTGTAAGGAAGAAAAATAGAAACGTTGTTTCTTACAGGAACAAAATTGCCTCGGGTGCTAGCTCGGGAGTACCAAGTGAGTGGGTTGGAATCCTCCTCAGGGCTCCCACTGATTTTCTCATTGTTACATCATGTTAATGTGGCTTCATTGTATATTTTTCCTGTATTTCATTTTGTCACTTTAGGTGGGCAAAGATACTCTTTATCTCCCTCTGGAAGATCCTTACAGAGACTAAAAAAAAAATTGAATGAGCTCCTCATGAGAAGCAGATACAAATTCTTGACAAACATTGACAGACACCAAAATAATACAAGGTTAGATGTTGGTATGGTAGAATGATAAATATTGTGCAAAGCATAAAATAGCTTACTACCATATTGTGCTTCCCATTCTCCCTCATCCCTACACCAGAACCTCTAGGCAAGACCTGCCCCATCAAGTGGTACCTCTTTAGGTGACGTGCATTCAAGTTGTCTGGCCAGATAAAACAACTCATATGCTTCCAGGATTCCAGGCAGCAATGTACATTATTCTGTTCCAACTTGAGATGTTATAGTGTCGTCGTCATGCTCACAAACCATGTTCAGTAGAGGGAGCTCGTACAAGTTAGGGTCTTCACTGGTCTTCACTTCACAGAGAGAGGGAGAGAGAGAGAGAGACTTTACTGACTTATCCCTTCAAGAGTACATGTACCCTCCCTGCATCACTTGCTCCACTAACTAGTGATAACTGATGATACTATATGTTGATATCAGTCCCTGATGGCAACATGTTGATTTAGAAGGATTCCTAGATGTTACATGAACTGTGTTAATATTATCATTGTGCATATTTTATTCATTAATAGTAAGTTGCTAACCTGTGAGACTTTGGTAGATTTGTTTTCATTAACTCTTAGGCTGCGATTATCATCTACTGACTATCCTTAAGGGACTGCGGTAATCAGCAAAAGACAATTTAAACTATTATTGTCTGAGTTTTACATGTACGATGTAGATATGGATATAAATGCTCTCTGTAGACGTAAATAAAGAAAAACAAATGATAATACAATCGGTGAAACATCCGAGGGTAAAACAGGAAGCATCAGCAAAGTCGAGCACCAGGCATTGACAAGTGCCAGATGTAGCCTTGCAGAGCGCCTCCACCCAGTGAAACGATAAATATTCACTTGTGTACAAATACATATTAATAATTCTATAATGAAAAATTATTTTTAGGATTTTTTTTTTTTTTTTTGTACATAGGCGAGTATGACCATTTTCCATAGCTGCTGTCTAAGGGTTAAAGAGTTTGAGTGGTAAGATTGTGAAGAAATGTGTAAGAATTTAAGTTTATTGGAAAGTAGGAATATGGCAAAAGTACACACAGAAATCACAATAGCGTGATGCATCAAATGAACAAACAGATTAAGGCAGCGTCTGGGATGATCTCGGACGTAGGTTCGAATCCTCGTCACGGCCCTTGTGGATTTGTTCATGGCAAAAGTAGACTGCTGAATAAAACGATGAGTAACACAATATATTGCAAAAGGCAAAAATTTTGGGAATGCAAAAGGGTTAAAGTACTGAGAGAACTTTCAGAAACCATAGAAAAGTAAAGCTCTAAAAAAGGCAAAAGGAAGGAGAGTTGTTTTTTTTTATACAAAGTTATGGGCTTGAGAAACCCAGTAAATACTTTGACTTTGGATCAATAGGACCTCACTAAACAGAAAATTAAATAGAAAGGAAAAACTCTCAAATAAAAACTGGTTCTTAAATATCTTGTATACAAATCGGATACTGTATTTATAAACAAGTTATGGAATGGAAGGATATAATAGTTGAGGCCTAGACATACAGTACTGGTACTTGTATTGATTAGTTGTCAATGATTCCAAGGATCAATATTCCTGTGGCCCGGTCTCTGACCAGGCCTCCTGGTTGGTGGTCTGGTCAACCAAGCTGTTCAATGCAGCTGATCACAGCCTGGTTGATCAGGTATCCTTTGAGGTGTTTGTCAAGTCCTCTTTTGATGGAGACAAAACTTGTAAAAAGGATGCACAATGAGTTTGTCTTAGAAAAAGATTACATAATGTAGAAAGGGGACAGGGAAGTGAAGTAAGTAGATGAGCTAGCAATATTAATAAAAGATCTGTTAGCATGAGAGATAATACAAAATCCTCATAATGTAGAGGTCCAAATAACATAAATGGAGCTTAAATAAGAAGTCTGTTATGGTGGATAGTAGTACAGTAATGTATATACACTGCTCCATCAAACAATGCCTGGGCACAAGAACACTGAGAAAACATGAGGGAATGGCAACTGAGCATTGTGAGAGAGAGAATTAGGATAGCCGAAAGGAGGTAAGATTAATTTTAACTGGGAGCTTTAACTAAAAATCAATACAGTATACCTCTATTGAAAATGATGTGATCTAGGAATGAACAATTGGATTTCTTTCCAGACAGAACAATCATCTATTCAACAACAAATAAATAAAGCCACAAGGATGAGAGGTGACGAACTAACTATATTGGACTTTTGTGTTCATAGAGTGAGAGGAAGAGATTTTTATGTAAAATATTTGGCGCTAGTAGGCAGCAGTGACAATGTATTAGAAATAGAATGTGGGATCAGCTCGCCCCAACCTCACAAGCAATTTGGTTGGGCTCAAGGCCAGGACAGGAAAGGTCCACTGAACATTGATCCTTAACTGTTTATGCTTATTCATCCAGAAGTAATTGGTGGATCTGGTTATAAACCGATTTGCAGTTTGTGTTCCAGAAAAAATGCTAAAGGGAAAGGAATTGGTTGGAAGTTGAGTTTCAGAAGAGGAAGATGGGTACTTCTGAAGCAGTTCTTTGGAAAAGTAAATGGGAAAGATATGTGAGAAAAATATTAAAATTACATGTACTGTATGAATATAGTAAGAGATAGGTTGGAATTCAGTAGTCTGAATGAATGCACTTCCATCGTTTTCAAGTAAATGGTGGGGTAAGTAGGTAAGCCATGAAAATGAATGGGTAAATGACCAGAGTGCATGGGTAAGTGGTGGGAGTAATTGGGTTGTGGTACAAAAAATTGCAAATTTGCTCATTTTTGGACATTGCTGGTAAGAAATTCGGCCAAGATGAATGTTCGGTTAACTCAAATAAGGTGAGCCCCATATAATTCAGATTACCGAGCCTAAACAATAAATTACTGTAGTTGCAAGGGTTGTATGATGGGTGAAGACAACAACACTGCACAACAAGATAAATAAAATATTACCAGGACTAGTTATAGGTAGCCCCTCCCCTTCCCTTGTTTCATTTCCATTTTCTATATTACATGGGTTTAATTGTATTAGAATTAAAGCTCCACTGTAAATTTGCAATCTTTGGACTCTTACCATACATCAGTTCATTTTAAAGCCTGACCCTTGAAATTAACCATTTTTTAGTTTTATAGTGTACTGTAATACTGTTTTTCCAGAAAAATGCATGTGAGCCTATGGCTCCATATGTGAATATATAGATAAAAGAATTCAACACACAAGTGAATTTTTTTATCAAAAACAATGACGTTTATTTTTGTATATACTTTAGTATTTTAACACACACACAATAAAAATACCTGTAAATGCTTCATTAATTTAAATGCATCAATAAATATGTAGAGACTGTAAATTTTTACTTTCCTGGGTAGAGCTTAGGCATATTATGGTTCATTAGACTCTGTATCACAGATGCGCGTTTAAACGAGACTGCAGCCTTGAAAACTAGTGAACTAACTCTCCCAACAATGATCGAAATCTCTTAAAACTTGTGCAACCTTGTTTGCCCCACTCGTTTGTGGGGAGGCAGCTCCCAATCAGCCGGCATCTCCACCTTCAGTTCTATGCAGATGTGTAGTATGTGCCGGATCACTTCTCTGCTGCTCTGGCTCCAAGTGTTCTGCTTTTCAGTTAAGTGGCACAAACAGGGTTCTGGTAGCCCAGTATCTTGTCAGTGTGCCCAGGCCCCGACACCCTTATGTGGCTTTGGGTTCTCTTAGCCAGAAATTCTCGTCTTCATCTTAGTTCCTGCAGTGCTCTCTCCTCCCTGGTAAGTGGCTTTTTGTTTTCCTTTTCTGTTGGTAGTTAGCTTCAGGGAGCCACATGGGGGGCTCTCCAGGAAACCAGTGTTGAATGTAATGAATGCCAATTTCTGGGAGAGCCCTGATGACTTTGACACCCTCTAGGTTGCTTGGGGGTTGGTTAGATCTGCCATAGAACTGTAGGTGGACATGCTGGCTAGCTGGCTGGCTGGGAGCTGCCTCCATCCGAGTTGGGGAAAATGAGCTTTCAATAGTTAAGAGATTTTGATGGTTTGTTTACATTGTTGGGAATGTTCTTTTGGCGATTCTCGATGCTGCGGTCTCGCTTAAAGCCAGCAGTGGCCTGCTTTGTCTTGCTGACTCTCTGGGTACCTTCCCCAGTGATGGCATAAATATATACTACAAGATAAAATGTCTGTCTGACTGACTGAAGTTGGAGGCCATATGCATAGGGGCTTGCTTAACCCAAATTGGCAGAGGGAATGGTCTGGAGTGTGAGATGAGTATAGGCTGGCCGGGGTCCCTAGAATTCAAAAGGAAACAGTGTGCCACGGTTACATTCAGACTCCCATGATGATTTTTTTCACTGCCCACCAGTTGCATAGCTAAATATTTTCACAATTTCTTGTCCTTGTACTAATTTGCACCATTATTCACTGGTCTTGGGAAAAATTAACAGAAATTTCTTGCTGTCAATAATTTGCTCATACTCACATAAAATAGATGATTCTTCCACAGCTTTAAAGGTTTCTCAACCCATGGCCTTTTTTTTTCCAAAAGTGGCAATTTTTTTTTTTTTTTAATATTTTAGACTACTAAGCTCCTCTCACTGGTGACTACTGACACATTAGACAATTGTATTTTAATATGAGAGAGACAGACAGACAGACACATAGTAAATGGATGGATAGATGTATGGTTCGATGGATGGATAGATACTGGATAAAAAGACGGTGAATGGATAGATAATGATATAGAAAGATGGATAGATAGGTAAATGAATGGCTATGTGGATCGATAGATTGGTAGATAAAGAGGGATAGCAGGCAATGCCAGGACCTCCCCATTTCCCATAGTAAATATACGTCACTGCTCTCTGTGCCTCCGAGGAAGCCAGGTTCTGGTCGCTGATAGAACTGTGATGAATGCAACCTAGTAGCGGTACACAAGCAGTGACAGTACAGTACGGTAGCTTCAGGAAGCCACTGGGGCTCATCCAGAAATTGGCATTTAATTATATTCAAAGCTTTTTTTTTTTCTTATTAAATCCAACTTGAAATGCATTAAGAACAAGAACATTTGACTTTTTCAGCAGTGTATTTGGTGGCAAAATTTATATTAACTTTGATTACAAATGTACGGTATAAATAGTCAGGCTTAATGATATGTATCATTAATGATAATACAGTGGTACCTCGGAATGCGAGTGTCCCTGTATGCGAGTTTTTCGGAAGACGAGCAGGATTTACTCCAAAAATATGTCTCGGAAGGCGAGGGTTACCTCGGGACGCGAGTTTGTTGATACGTGTACAGGCCGACTGGCGCGTGGTGGCATGGCGATCGCGCCTCAGTTTACCAGTGTCTCGTGTCCAGTGACTATCCCACCTGAATTCTTCACAAGGATTTACAGTTTTTTATCGTTTTTTTGGCCATTTGAGCATAAAAGTTGTCATTATATATCTTGCCATGGGTCACAAGAAAGCCATTGGTAAGGTTCAACCTAAGAAAATAGCTGTGAGTAGAGGCAGTAGAGGATGTCCCTTCTTGATTAAGAAAATGTGTGAAGTATGGGAAGAACTGCAAAGTTATGTTGAAAAAACTCACCCAGATAAAGCTGTAGCAGGCCGTTGCATTGACCTTTTAAATGATAATGTGATGTCTTACTACAGACAAGTGTTAAAATGTAGGGAAAAACAAGTGTCATTAGATAAATTCTTAGTAAAACAAGCAAGTCCTAGTGGTATGCAGGCAAAATGTGCCAGAGTGTGCATACCAGTGAAGTCCTCACTGCCTGATGTGATAATGGAAGGGGACTCCCCTTCCAAACAGTAACTCCTCTCTTCCTCCCACCTCCTCACCATCTTCCATACGCCTACAGCATTCAACAGCAAGGTAAGTAATAACTTGAACATAGTTTTGTAGGTTTATTTAGATGAATTAGGTATAAAAATTTAGTTTGATGTGGGGTTTTTGGGGTAGTCAGGAACGGATTAATTCATTTCCCTTTATTTCTTATGGGGAAATTAGCTTCGGAATGCGAGTTTTCGGAATACGAGGCGTCTCCAGGAACCAATTAAACTCTTAAACTGAGGTATGCCTGTATATTACATTGATTTCTAGTTTGAAAATTTTTGTTCACTTTATTACTCTACTTGACTATGCATGCACATTCAGGGACAAGAAAACATTATCACAAATTCATTGCATTTATTTGGTGTCCCCGGTGGAGCAACTACAGACCCGTCACCATCCCGCGTAGCGCACAAGAGAAGATGATAGCTCACAATGGTTCAACAAGGCACAGGTGATATCATTCATTTAGTAACATACATACATGCCATAATTTAATGGCACAATACCTGAATGGCCTTATACTTAGTGGCACCATCCTTCATTGCACCATAATAACCAGCAATAGTACCTTTAATAAGTGATGCCTTAAATCAATATGGATCTTTCTAAGCATAATGTCATTGGAATATTCATCTTGCACCACTTGCATTAAATTGACACATGTAAAGATTCAAAACAACACTCAATTACTAAATGCTGATACTGTGTAAATTTATAAACATAATATTTAGTCACTCAAAGTATTGTAATGTAAACTTTGTTATAAAGCAGTTGATGGGACCTGTGTATGTCAGTAGAAATGCTCAAAGTGAGTTTTAGAGTTTTTAATTTGCAGACAGGTAGACTGCACTACCACCACAATTACTTACCCAAATTGGTCCCTTGACAAAGAGCTTGAAATATAGTATGCATCAGTTATACAATTATTTTTACAATGTTAATCATTATTATTGAATAAGTAGGGATTTGATAACTGAAAACATGTACCATTATTTCAAGATACTATCAAGTTTAGTCAGTGTTTAAACACAGGGACCTGAAACAGAACTGTGGTAATGATCTAGACTACAAAATGTTTAAAAATCATGATTACTTGGTTAATTACAGAATGCTCATGATTATTTGGCAATTGTTCACACAACTGTTTTATACAAGACAAAGATATAGAAGTGCATTGTATGGAAAACTTATCGAGAAGTGTAGCAAAAGTAAGCTATATATGTATATACTGAAGCCTTGAAAGGTTAGAACAAGATAAACACAATGCACATGTAAACCAGTGTCTAAATAATATAATAGAAAGTGTGTGTATTATGCTATAATCTAACAAACTTAAACATTTAATAGCTGCCCCGTAGGCCGTCAGTCATAAATTAAAAAAAGTTTAAAGAAAACTATTTACTAAATGACATTAAATAAAGTTAATGCAAAAAGCAGTTATTATCCATGAGGAATTGAGCTTTGGTAATGTCATTTAGAAATTAGTTTTTCACATTTGGTATAAAAATCTACAGTATAAATGACTACAGTGTCATCCTCTTAAAATATTAATAATTAACAAGAATGTATACAATAAACTAACTGAAAATTACTGTAATATTATGCTGCATTCGTGTTACAAAATCCTTAAGGTGAATAACAAGGGTTATTGCTATTTTAAAAAATCTATATCACAACATTTTACAGACCGCTTCCCCCCATGCTATAGTATATTGCTTGCATCAGATTATCCCATAATATAATTTAATTGTTTTTGCAATATGACAAATCAAATGTACAGTGAAGTTCCAGTCTAGATCAGTCCCCTTCCTTTGCAACCAATATTCTGTTCAAACTAGACATCTGTTATTCTTTATTTTTATGCTCAAATTTTGATACCAAATATACTTGTAAAATTTTAATTTTTTAACAATTTAATTGTTAAATTACTGAATTAATACTTAGTTTAACAATTAAGTATTAATCCAAACCAGTAGGATTTAATGTTCTCTGTTCCATCTGGACATTGCTTTCTTTACTGGATTTTGTTAAAGCTTCACTTCACAGGACTTCACTGTTGGAAATTAAAATTCCAGAATAGGTAGTGCTTAACTTGTCAACAGTTTTTAATAGGAATATTAAAAAAAATCAAATTTGGATACAAACTGCAATGTAGCTGAAACACTATCTCGCCCCATCAACAAATATTAAAGGGCTAGTGGGAAGCTCTCATTTACCCTGTTAAGGTTGATACTGGTTTTGTACCTTTTGTCAGCGAGATGTACAATTTCATTTGTGTTTTCTGATTGCTCAAATATGATAGGTAAGCACACAGCTTATGGCACTAAACTATAGCTACACTATAGTGAGGATACGGGCATTATGAACTAGTTGCACAAGTTACTATACATGTATAAAGGAGCAAGAGAAAATCATAAGCTATTCTGGAATAATTTCAAATTTGCTTATTTGCAGAATCCACAAGAACATTTTAATCCTGACAAGGAAACCATAATATCCACATTATTGATGCAAGTCACCACTGAGGAGTGAACTTGTATCAAAGATAACTTTCCATAATGCCCTCATCCATTTTAAATTACTTAATTTTATGACTGCAAGCAATTGCAAGAGTTTGTCATATATATATATACTGTACCTATAGAGCACCATGTTCCAAAACTGGTATTGTATAGCATGCCGAGTATATAATTTTCAATTCTTATTTAAATACTAAATATTGTTAATTTTGCCAATATATATGCTTTACAGAAGTATTTCGTGTATAGCAAAAGGTTATTATTAACAGCCAAATTTGCATCCTATTCTTCTTGGAATAATAAATATTTAAAACAATTGCTTGCAGTCTACTAACAGGGAAACGGTCTAGCTCCAATGATAGCAAGGACTATCATTAACCAACACTTGATGGTTATGTAACACTACTTCAGATCACCAGGTAATATTGCATCGTAAGTCACTTTTGCCGCAGTTATCCTTATCCTATGTAGACACTAAAGTCATTCCTCAGGGAGCAACCTCTGAGAAACGAATAAATCTTATTTATGGACGGATCTTTGATAAGATTAGCAAGAAGAGAGGGGAGACTCTTGAGTAAGGAACAGAGACCCCAGTTGTTAAACAGTGCTTAAAAAGATTATTCCAGCATGTTAAATAATTACTCTCAGGCCTAGTGGCTGACTGATAATAGTCTACTAACTGGTACTTCAAGCAGTGTTCTATTGTCATGGGGAAAGAATTTGAGTATTGAACAAACCCAGAAAAGCCAGTGAAATGTCACTTGCACTTTTTATACACAGTGCAAATTAACTTTTTTGTTTGTTATTTTGCATCATATTTTAAACTGAGAAAAATGATCCAAATATGTACAAAATTTCATCCAGAAACATAGTAAAAAAAAAAAAAAAAAAAGTAAAGTTTTGTATGGACTAAGCAGTCTAAACTTACAATATTTTGTATTTTATTTTAATTTAAAAACATCTTTCATTGACTTTCTGGGCATAACTTCCCTGTTCCTTTGGCCACCTGTTTCCCCTCATCCTCTCAAGACACAAACTTCACAACCAGTTAGGAAAGTTTAACAAACTGTCAAACATCAAATTTGTCAGCTGGTTAAAAGCATAAACACACAAGCATTTCAATATGTATACTTTAGTACTGTATTTAGTATTTCTCCTATAGTGTGAGTGATCAATTAAGCTGTTAATTATGCACCTTGCTATCTATATTTAGGACAATTTATACCGGAGCACCATTTTACGTTTCCTGTTTTAGGATGCTGGGTACTGCACCATAACACACCTGTGTATCCACATTTATAGACTGATAATAATGACATGCAGAATTTTGTCATTCATAATGTCAGTAATTTTGTAGTAATCCTACTGACCATGATTCTTCAGTTACTGTACTTTGCTTCCTTTGAGAAAGAGGTTCATGTTCTTCACAATACACTATAAATTCACTTTCATATTTACAGTACTGTTCTGAGTTCTGAATATATTTTTCAACTCTAGGAAATATACAGTAGTTACTGTACATTCATATTCTTAATTTACTATTTTCTTATAATATCTAAACTGTCCATCTGAATTAAAAAAAAAAAGTTATGCCACAAATTTTGATGATGCTCCAACACACTTTTGGCATTCACTCTTGCCAATATTTTTAGGAGGAGTGACTGTAAGCTGTATTGGTGTAAGGACTGGAATATATAGAGGAACCAGTGGTTGAATCCTCCTTTCTCCTACGACGGCGGGAGATGAGTATGAGAATGGACGCAATAACTGCTACCATTAGAATGAGACCAGCAATGGCAATGCCAATAGCAAAGGTCTTTGGAGAGAGACAAAATGTGTTTGGATCCTCTACCACTTCCTCCTTTAGAGGAGTAAGTGTGTCGGAGGCTCCTTCAGGTTCGGGAAGCTGCAAGAAAGAAAAGATTTTAATCTAAGGCCATATATATATATATAGGTGTCATTGTTTTATATGTTGACACATTCTGATATTTATAGATGTTAATATTAAAAGAATATGTAATATAGACAAATGATAAGCAAAACAAAAGCATAAGTTTAATAATATTTTACCAAATTTTTCATCAGAAAATTGTATTTCTATTAAAATGCAGCAGATGAAACTCCTACACTTTAAACTAATCTTTAGTTCTGGAAAGTAAACCGTCACCCGAGGACCACTAAATAACAGTGTGAGAGAAGCATCTGCTACGCTTTCCAACTTTAGCATTACTTTTAAATACTGTACATGGATGATGAAATATTAAAGAAATTGTTTACAATCTTTTACACCAAATTGTAATATGTACCAGTTGTATGGTGCCCATATCTCAAGAAGAACATCAATGAATTGGAAACGGTGCAAAGACATGCAATTAATAGCTTCTGGAACCAAAACAAAAACTATGAGAAGTTAGAGGTGTTAAATATACCAAAGCTAGAAGATAGAAAATAGAAGAAAAAGAGGTGATGTGATCACTACTTACGAAATGGTAACAGGAATTGATAAAATTGACAGAATAATTGAAAAAACTACTACTTCCAGAACAAGAGGATATAGGTTCAAACCAAAAAAAACTATGCTGCCAAAAAAATTAGAAAGTTTAGTTCTGCAAACAGAGTGGTAGACAGTTGGAACAAGTGAGAAGGTGGTGGAGGCTAAGCCTGTCAGTAGTTTTAAAGCATCATATGACAGTGCTGGGAAGACTGGACACCACGAGTGTGGCTCTCATCTTGTAATTACACTTGGGTAAGTAATAGGTCGTCTACATTCAGCCATTTTCCTAAGTGTGTGTGTAAAATTTAGACTAGTATGGCAAGAATTATTCTAGCTGTATTTTTGTGTTTATTTTATACCTTGAGCTTGTTGCACTTTCATTTGTCAGTTGGGTGATGACATTAGGGTTATAAATAGCCTTGAATTATCTCCTTGGAAGCATAGCTTCCATTCCTTAATGTAATCAAGGGCAGCAAACCTAGCAGCCTATTGCAGATGTTCATAAACTTATTGTGCATCCAGGTATTTGGAAGTTGGGTAAAGCACCTTAGTGACAGACACCTCTGTCAGTACAGAAAAGATGGGGTCTTGTGTTGATGTACTTATTTCTACAAGAAACCCTTCATAACACAATTTGATAGAATATTTTTATTTCATTGCTATAACAATCCTAAGGAACAGCAGAGCTTGATAGCAAACCCAGATGATTAGTATATTCTGCATCTTTATTTCACCTTGAGTATCATTGGGGGTCTTACCCAGACTTTACTTAACAAATGACATTGGATGGCATTCATTTTATCTCATTCTACTCCACTAGCTGTTGGTCTTGATTTGCCACCAGTGTGCTGAAATGGAGGGTTAAAGGAGTTTACTTCTTTCCTTCCTCAGTGGTTTGCAAAGGTGCTTTACACACTTTCACTGGAGGTTTTTGTTCCTTTCCTCCATACAGATGAGAGGTTCTTTTTGGTTTGATCTTTGCCTAGGCTTCCCTGTAAAAATTTGCTCACTCATAACCTTATTTTCTCTCCTCTTACCACATATTTTATGTATAATTATATCCTTGTTATACTACATATAATTAGTAAAAACCTCACGCATTACATACACAAGTGGCAGTGTGCTGTCATTTTTTACCTTTAGCAGGTATACTTTTGCAAACCCAATTACAATCATACATTTTAAAATAAGTTGTCTTTGTTGCCTTATTACAATCATATATTTTAAAATAAGTTGTCTTTGTTGCCTTATTACAATCATACATTATACAATAATGATTAAAAAATTAAAAGGATTTTCTAATGCAATTACTGGCATTTTGTCTTCATAAGCTGGAAGGTTCATCTTTTGTTGAGGTAAAACTGCTGTACCTCCTTCCACAATTTTTTACATTGCTCTGTTTGCCCTCCCCCATCCCCCCCCAGTTAATAAATTAGTATTTTACAGGCAAACTTTAGGTCTAAAATTAGTACTTACTTCCTCATCCTCATTTACGTAGAGACCTGTGAAAACCTCAATAGTAAGGGCTTCGTCAACTTTTGCCACTTCCTTCAGGTTACCATCTCCATCAACCTCGGGTACATCTCTACGTCGTCGACGGAGTAAGTTCTGACCCTCTACACACACAGGTGGCTGTAAAGAAAATTTGATTCAGATCAATTGTGTAAGAAATTTGGATAGGCAAAATTTAATGTATCTCTTTATTTCCCGAGTGACAAACTCGATATCTGAAACTGTCTATCAATAACTTGATAACAATATAATTTTAAATTTTTACTAATAATCTTTGAGATCCCCTTCGGTGGGCAAAATGTTATCTGCTGCTATCTTTCTGTACATCATTATCAGCACTTTCTGATCTTCACTATTACCTTGATTCCTAATCATTCAAGAACGGTCTGTTGGGCTACATATTGAACTTCAACTGATATTTTCCTCTCCAATATATCTTCATTGTTAAGTGAACAATTTTACCTTTGGATTGAAGTTAAAAAAAAAAAAAATGGTGTTTGGCAAAACAATACGATGAATAAAATAATAAAGCATTATGGTAAGAAGGTACTCACCACATCATCGCAGCCTCCAGCATTCTTGATGCAGAGTTTGACATTACACTGATAATATACAGATGAGGTGTAAGGGAACTTATGGGCCTGGAAGCGTACAGAAGCTGTGGTCTTAGAGGAGGAGTACTCGAATGTTCCCAGAATTTCATAGTCCACAGGGCACCTGTCAAAGCCATCATGAAGGATTGTTAATGCTAGCATTGTCATGTTTATTACTACACAGTTACATTAATAATGAGAGTAATTAATTATAGTTTTTAATACAGTATTCAGTTTTAATAATTCAGATGTAAAACATTAATTTATATAGATCCAAAACTTATGAATTTAGATTCATTTTTATAACTATAAATCATGAATATGTTACCGACATTTCTTGTACCGAGAAAAATCTTCCTGATAAAGTAATCAACTCTTGCACTCATTTGAATGAAAAGTGCATAGTAGGCCTACCTGGATGTGACTGCCACAAGAGAAAATAGCTACCATTTATAGAGGGAATACCAATACAGTATTAGGAATACGTGATAAATGGAATGAAATAGGAATTCAAGATAACGAATTGGCAAAACTATACCTATAGTTGAACGTCTTTTAATTCAAAAAGAACCAAAAGAAGGCATCTGTTACATGTCTCTTTCAAGCTACTGGTCTCTTACAAGAAAGGGGAAAAGCAAGAAACAATGTTACTCAGCAGCTTAGCTTACCCATCATGGTTGATGAGCATTTGTTCTCCCCAGCCAAGGCCGTCCCTCACGAGGCAGTCTGTAACCTTCATGCCGTAGATTTCCTGATCATCCAGAGAGATGACCATGCTGAGGGGATCACCAATACGCACATTCTCCGCTACTGCTTTGTCTGAGGGTGATCCAGCGAAGATGCGCATGTAGCAACCAGGCATCGGGGCTGTAGCCGTGAGTGGCGTCGTCCCAATGAAACTGTGGTCATATGAAAGATGTAGACAAACTGGCCCTGGCTTAAGTAATCAGTTGTTAATTAGGAAAATGAGGCTTTTTGTTGTGTATAATACATGACTTTTTATACAATTCATTTGTGCAAAATGCAATTGCAGATGTGTAAGACTTTTAATAGGCTACATATAATAAAAAAAAGGTTTCCAGTGCAACCCATACCAGAGTAAGCAGTGTTCATTTTGTAGATCATGCAAGAAAGTCATAGGCAATGCTGAATAAGGCAAATGTAATACTGTACTTCATATTTTTTGAACGTTGTTTTCTACTTCAAAGTCAAGAGGATCATCTGCATAGTAGTAGTGCGTATCATACTAGTAGGGCACATCACACCAGCAGTGTATATCATACTACTAGTATAAAATACACTGCTAGTATGTCATAATGTGTATATCATACTAGTGACAGTGTCAGACCACGGAGGAAGAATTGAAACAGGAATTTCCTTAAGTACTTTTGTATTTTAATAATACATCTTCAGTAGGAACGATTTACAAGACAGTAAGTTTGGACATATATAGGCAGGAGAGAGAGAGAGAGAGGTGAAGTAAAGTGACGTACAATGACAAATATATGAATGGGATTAGGTGGATATAAATAAGAGCTGTATCATATGGGCCAATAGGCTCATACATGGATATTAATAGCTTAAGATAGTGGATATTAACATTGAACTAGTAAGACAAATATGTATCAATGATCCTACTCAAATTGCCCTTTAACTGATCAATCAAAAATGGATCTAAATTATATAAACCACCGCTAATGTTCATATTACATGATTTTGTAATCTGTATTAAAGCAGATTCAATTATGTTTTTATTGAAAGTGATTTTACAATTCGTTATTGAAGATGCCATCTCCCTATCAATTTGGTGAGAATTTTCTGACAAATGAACAAAGCATTAGACAATTGGCCATGTCTTACTGTTGGTAAACTATTAGTTAGAAACATCCCTCGTAGTGATAATTGTGTCATTTATAAAATACCTTGTAAAGACTGTAATAGATTCTATGTTGGGCAAACATCTAAAGGTTTGAAATGTAAAATTTTGCAACATAAATACTCTGTATGTTGCAAAATTCTACATTTCAAACCTTTAGATGTTTGCCCAACATAGAACCTATTACAGTCTTTACAAGGTATTTTATAAATGACACAATTATCACTACGAGGGATGTTTCTAACTAATAGTTTACCAACAGTAAGACATGGCCAATTGTCTAATGCTTTGTTCATTTGTCAGAAAATTCTCACCAAATTGATAGGGAGATGGCATCTTCAATAACGAATTGTAAAATCACTTTCAATAAAAACATAATTGAATCTGCTTTAATACAGATTACAAAATCATGTAATATGAACATTAGCGGTGGTTTATATAATTTAGATCCATTTTTGATTGATCAGTTGAAGGGCAATTTGAGTAGGATCATTGATACACATTTGTCTTACTAATTCAATGTTAATATCCACTATCTTAAGCTATTAATATCCATGTATGGGCCTATTGGCCCATATGATACAGCTCTTATTTATATCCACCTAATCCCATTCATATATTTGTCATTGTACGTATTGTACGTCACTTCACTTCACCTCTCTCTCTCTCCTGCCTATATATGTCCAAACTTACTGTCTTGTAAATCATTCCTTCTGAAGATGTATTATTAAAATACAAAAGTACTTAAGGAAATTCCTGTTTCAATTCTTCCTCCGTGGTCTGACACTGTCACATTTTTCATCACGAGTTAATTTTTTTGATTTACACACATCATACTAGTGTATATTATACTAGTAGTATGTCATAATGTGTATATCATACTAGTAGTGTATGTTATATATAATAGCATGATATACACTAGTATATCGTACTAGCAGTGTACAGTTCATCAAGTGTATATTATACTAACTGCATATCATACTAGCATTGTGTATTACACTAGTAATTTATATCATGCTAGTAGTGTACTGTATATCTTACCATTAGCGTACATCATACCAAATGTGTATTTCATGCTAGTAGTGCATATCGCAAGACAATCAGTAGGAGCCACGACGATTCGAATCTATACTCTGTGTACTCTCAAGTAATTAAATCCTTTAGGGGGGTCCTAAAATTCTGAAGCCTAATCAGGGTTTCACACAGTCTCAGGACCCCCCTAGAGGATTCAGTTGAATTCCAGGTTGCATTGCTTTTCTCATGTCAGGGTGTAATGGTCTAAGGCGTGTGCTTGGGAGTAAGTACCCAGAGCATAGGTTTGAATCCTCCTCACAGCTCCTACTGATTTTTCTTATCGATACATCACATTAATGTGATTTCTTTGTGCAGTGTATATCATGCAAGTAGTGTATATCATACTAACTGTATATAATACTGGAAGTGTATATCATATTGTATATAATGTTAGTGGTGTATATCATACTTGCAGGTGTATCATACTAGTAGTGTATAACACAGAGTGTATATCAAAAAGCAAGTACTGTACAGGTTTTCTTACAATAACTTATAATTAAGGAACAACATAAATTGACTTATCTCTAATAATGTTTAGTTTTGTGAAATCTGATAATTTGAGGACTGTAGCATATTTATCAAGCACAAAAGTTACTGTTGACATTTGCAAAGTTAATGTGTCAAAAATCCTATGACTGATTACAGTGTACTATTATAACATGTACTGTACAGAGCCCTGAACTGATTTCAGTCTTAAGTTTTCTCTGTCAGATAATCTGATTTTAAACTTTGAGGGCTTCTTCCAAAGTCAGGTGGTTGTATTGCCTGTAAAGTCAGGTGGTTGTATTACCCAAAGTCAGGAAGCTGTATTACACAGTCAGGAGGCTGTAAATTGACAAAAAGCAACGTAAAAAGTCTTTATGTTAAGCCACACCTGTGCTTTAGGCTGTTATAGTTGTAAGGACCAGAGAGGAGCACGTCTCTTACAATCACTTCACCACTGTGTGGTAGGTTTATGCAGTGTTGAAGGTTGTAAGATGGGAGCCCTTCTTCATCCTCAGCAGCAGCACAAATACTGTATTTTATCATCCAATACCATAACCCCTCATTAAACTTCCCTGACTCCTGTAAATCTGGTTACACACAAGAATGTGTATCAACTCTATTTATAACTGACAGTTGCTAGCTAGGTAGACTTACTAAAATTCTGATACAGTATATTTACATTATTAATGGAGTTTATGTAACGTACAGTGTATATTTGTTTAATGCACATGTTACACAAGTTACCATGTGCAGTCATTTGCATTACTTTATCTTTGTGACTTTTTTATTAATTCTTTTGATTTATATTCACTTTTAAGCCTGTGATTGTAAAGGTAATCTTTCCAAACTTGGTGCACAATTTTCCGAGACCTTAAATATATAGTCAACCTAAAATGAATAGGTTTGCAAGGCATTGGGACCTTGAACCTATGACGGTTTGTGCAATACTACTACTTCCAGTACTTGTTCCATTACTTGCCTGCATAGTTAATACTTACAGTAGTTGATTACCTGTAGCTTTAACCACTACCTCAACTAAACTGATTAAATATTTTACTGTACTTAACCTCCCTCAAAGCTTATAATATACTGTACATCTGTGATCACCTCGACCCTTGACCATTTCTCCCCTATTTACCCTTTGCTTTAACCTGTGCTGTTGCCATATATGCCCCTGTGATCAAACTTGAACAAGAGTGACCTACTGTGAGCCAAGTTATCAATATGACACTCACCTGGAGCCGTTGGGTGCCTTCCATTCCACATCCGTAACGAAGTCACCACTGTGGCAAGAACACTATCTTAGTACACTCCCGGGCCCTGTGTGTTTCTTCCACTGCCCTCTCCACAATGTGTTTTGTTATTTGAAGGTTTTCAGTACAAATTTACATACAAGAGTTGAGCAGTGGAGATGCCTTGTGTAGGTTTGCATCTTGGAGAGATGTGTGGTAATTTTTTTATAAATCCCTTTTATACATGGATACTATTATGCTTTGTATAGCCATTTTGTTACAAACTATAGCCCCCTTTTTATGGATTATCAACTAGATAATAGTTTAACAAATAATGTAGAGTATGCATATACTGTGTGCATACTTACCTAGTTGTGTGTGTGTCTATCTAACTACTACCATAATCATAATGTCCTTATTACTGAAGATAGTATTTATTTTTATACCATGAATGCTCTTTGCTACTTTTACAACTGAAATTTAGTGATATTAATTATCTCAATTACATATTTATGGCAGGCTTTATTACCTTTATACAACTGAAAGGCAATGTACATATTCATTCTTAAAAATGGATATCTGATTACGAGTTTTTGATCATTAATAACAGTCATGACTTGGAGCTCATGACTCAAGCAGCATGGCATAGTAGCCATCATTACCCTGTGCATGTGTTTGGATCCCCGAGAGCATCTGCCAGCATGGTTACATCCTCCTGGTGCTACCCGAGGCTCACCATGTACCGTACCTGCTGGAAGCTTTAGGAAGTTGGGGTTCTCTCTCGTTTGTGGCCTTTCCAACTCTCAAGCACTGCAGTTATGCTTAACCTACATGGTAATTATCATTTGGATCCACATCCCATCACAGTGGGATAAAGGGTAATGATACTGTACGATTTGTATGAGTTATTGAAACTGTGCTGTACATTATGCTAGTAACTGCCCATTTGTCTTAATACAGCAGTGTACAATACTGAATATGTATTTATCATTAGTAACCAACCCAAATGTACTAGCTGTGTTCCAGACTTTTTACAGGATGCTAGAGTAATGTCTTTCATGTACTGATTTTGAAGATGTATTTGATATTGTAACTAAATATGATACTTACGTAAAGTATTTTGAAAACAAGACTAAAAACTCTTAATGTGCAAGCAAGAGCTGTTTAGGAACAGTGATTAATGGCATCAGCTGTAGGCATCAATGTTCAGTGAAATTAATACATAATATATTACATAATACTTTTCTTAAAAATATTGTTAATTAGCAATGTTTATTAAGCACAATCTAACAATGTATCAGGGTGTGCATCTCACAGCTATGGAACTGACACTAACTGGTCTATGTCTAACATGACGACATCGAAGTAAACACAATAAGGGTGTCCGTTATATGCCCTAAATCGTAATATTATATGTCCCTGCGAGGACGATCAAGGTGTTGAATTAAATGTTCACCAACGGATAATCTATGACACTACATACCCTAAACTTAACTAGAAAATATAATATCAAAATTTTTGATGACCTACATATTTATCCAAATATATAATAGAGGCTTGGAAATCTAAAATATTGTTGAAGATGTTAATCTTGTAACAAGTGTTGGCATCCAGCAGACAACACTGCACAAACCGCTGCAGTGTTGGTTCAAAGCAAGTACACTGCCTTGGGCAATTTGACAGTGGTTATTTTCACCACAACATAAGCATGTAAGACATATTATTGAAAATCAAATAGGACCCAGAGGAGCTCCGTCAGCAAAAGAATGTTGACGTGGGCTTGAAACAGTACTGTCATCAGTATTTTATGGTAGAATAAGATGCCATGTTTATTGATATGCTGAAAAAAATAGTCACATGTAGCAAAAAAAGTCATATCTAGCTCTTATAAAAGAGTCACATCTAGTTATTATAAATGATCACATTAGTTATTATAAATGATCACATTAGTTATTATAAATAGTCAAATTTAGTTATAATAGTCATCTAGTTATTATAGTCACACCTAGTTTAATATAGTCACATCTAGCTGTTATAAACAATATAGAACATGAATACTAGACAATAAAATACTGTTAATAAACATGAGTAGCAACTGTCGGCAGGTTCTCTTTAACTACTGGTATTACAAGAATATTAATAAGCAAACTACAGTACTTAATTTCTTCTCACATGTATGAAACAATGATAAGGATTATTTTTACAACATGAGGATGAGTGGGATCAAACTATGTTAATAAAGTCATTCACTGCACATGAAAAGAGCAGAAGGTACGATAGAGCTATAGTGTCTAATGAGTGCCACGTCAAGTGTCAGTACCAATCATGCAATGTTAAAGTTTGAGATAATCTGGCATACGAATTTATTCTGTGTTATGGAAACGTTATTTGTTTGTTAATATGCTACAGTAGACTATACACAAGTTACACATAGTCAAGTGTTCAGTGTGAGGCTGTACGAATGTTTAGACTGATGAAGTAGTGACCTGACATACTGGCATGTAGTGACCAGGCCATACCATATCTCACCTGTACAGTACACCTCTTGTGCACAGGTGAGATTCCCCAAAATGCTTGGCATAATAGTGGCTTCATTAGTATGTGTAACGCCTGTCCCTACAATTGTACATTACTCTTATGTTCTTTCAACACACATTCTTTGAAATAAAGATTATTATTATTATATAATAATTTTTTTTTCTATTTGCAAGAAGGTACAATGGGTTGGTGAGATTACATAAGACTGGTATTTTTACATTCATGCAAAGCCACTAACATGCATAGCATTTCGTATATAGATATATAGATATGGCATGGCCCAGTGGGGTTTGATGTGAACTGGTTATCATGGTATAATTAATATATACACTTACGGCTTGTATCAGGGTCCCCCAATAGTTGCAATAGTGCAACCCTGCGACAGTTGATTAACGCCCTGGTACCTATTTACTGCTAAGTGAACAGCTGCATTAGGTGAAAGAAAGCGTGCCCAACCATTTCTGTCCCACTCGGGAATCGAACCTGGAATCCCCGCTCGTAAGTCGTAAACGAAGCCAGTTGTACCACAGGCTCACTATGGCCGTGTTACCCCAGGTAATATCTACCCTTGTCACAAATTTTGTGAATACTTAATAGTTAAATAATAATAATTCACTGTGCCAGGGGACAGGCAGCCAGAGTGTATTTATACATGTTAAGCTTATATGTAGGTCCCCCCCCCCCCCAAAGTCGAATTACTGACCCCCACCCCAGGATGCAACCCCACAAACTACTATGTCCTGGGTACCTACTTACTGCTAGGTGAACAGAGCATTAGGTGATAGAAAATGCACCCAACCATTTCTGTCCTGCCCGGGATTCAAACACAGAATTGAGGGTCTGCCAACCAACACTACAAACCAAACACGATAGGGATATTCTTATCGAAACGTTCAAAATGCTGAACAGTTTGAAGGATGTTAATCTGGACAATATCTTCAAGAGGTCAGATGTAACACAAATAAGGAGTAACTGTTTCAAGCTCAATAAGCTACTATGTATGACTGAATACAGGTGTAAATGCCAAAACTCTGCTGAACTTTAAAATCCAGCTTGAAAAAATCAACAGGACAAATAGAGGGGACCTTTGACAAGCCTCCAGCTTCCTGTCCTCATCGAGGCCACTATTGTGTTAGTGGCCCTCACGTAAATTAAGAAATTCTCGATTGTGAGTCAAGATCGAACCCGACTGTACTATTGGGACCCTGTTAATTAACATCTAAAAACTGATTTGTGTGTCCCATAAAGTGTACTTTTTAGGTTTATCTGCTTTGCTAGTATTATACTTTTTGTTACTTCCTAAGAATATCTAGTAATAACTAAACGCAACACCGTACTAGGTTGTATGGGAGGGCTGGTCAGGGTAATACAGGACTTGATATCTGTGTTGGATGTAACAAATGAGATCAATCTTAGAAAATATATTATAATTTACTCGATAAATTCTTCATAACTGATCAAATGTAAACTCCAAATAGCAGGTGTGTGGGTAGGGTACGACACTATCGCCTAAAGAGAAGTCGTACCCAGAACCAGCGTAGTATTGTCTGTATGACAGGAAACCATTACCTGTGATACTTCAGGTGTGAGGTGCCCTTGCTTCCGGGAGAGTGTCAGGAACCCTTAACAGTAGTGAACACGGTCTATGTCAATTGTGGACACTTACTTCAAAAGTTAAATATGCTCTTAGTAAAAATAATTATAAATATACTACTGATAAGATTATTGACAAAGCGTTAGAGTTCTACGAATTTTGCTGTAAGTACTTGCAGACAATGACGGAAGTCACAGAAACATAAGAGAATTCGTGGATCAGGCAGAGGATCAAAGGTCGATCAGAAGCATCAGAGAATCGCAAGCATTAGTAGGCTAATGAAAGACTGGAAGGTATCTGAGAGAGTCGCCATGTTTGGTTAATCACTACTAGCAGTGACGTCCCCATTCCTCGTCATCTGTCTCAGAAATATTTTTGTCAGCCCCAATAATTGATGGTTATTATTTATAAGTAATACCTTTATATTTATGTAATTGGTGTTCATGGTGTAGAAACAAAATATGGCGGTCATCTTGGACAAATGGGTGATTCTGGTGACAAATTAGGAGAGAATAAAGCAACCTGGCCGAGCCACTTCAAGTGAGTGAGTGAAGAGGGGTGCCCGTGACCTTTCCCAGTATTAGTTGTGCTAGGTGGGTGAATATATTACTGCCACCCTCTACTATACAGTGCCCGGCCTACCACCACTACACACTACAAGGTCTGCTACCAACTACAGGCTCTATTGCACACTACAAGATCTACCCGATGCAAGGGCTTACACCACTGCAGGGGCTGCCACCACCGCAGAGGCTACCACTACTTGTAGCCTACTGCATGGGCTACCACTACTAGTAACCAAGTGCAGGGGGCTACCACCTACAGTACAGGGATTCAAGCAAGGTCCCACGTGCTCTGTGCATTTCCCGGAGTTGTTAACGCGTTACAGGAACAAATATACAGTGAAGAAGATAGCCTTTATGACAACACTAAAGATAGCAATGACCTGTAAAGGAATCACAACATACAGTAATATTTACATTGTATAAACAAATGGGTTTTTAATTCATATTGTCTATACTAATAGTTTCATATACTGTATTAATAACAAAATGGGGGGGGGAGATGTTATCACTAGTGTTCCCCTGGTGTATGGGGCAGTGTTCACCTGGTGTATGGGGCAGTGTTCACCTGGTGTATGGGGCAGTGTTCACCTGGTGTATGGGGCAGTGTTCTCCTGGTGTATGGGGCAGTGTTCACCTGGTGTATGGGGCAGTGACCTGGTGTATGGGGCACCTGGTGTTCAGTGTTCTCCTGGTGTATGTGTGGGGCACCTGGTGTATGGGGCAGTGTTCACCTGGTGTATGGGGCAGTGTTCACCTGGTGTATGTGTTCCCCTGGTGTATGGGGCAGTGTTCACCTGGTGAATGGGGCAGTGTTCACCTGGTGTATGGGGCAGTGTTCCCCTGGTGTATGGGGCAGTGTTCACCTGGTGTATGGGGCAGTGTTCATTGTTGTTTCCTGCACATACTCTGCATTTTGTTTTGTTGTGTATTTAAATATATGTTTCATCGTACTTCCTAATGCCTGTTTCCGTCTGTATATTAGTCTCCACCCGTATACTATACAGAGTATACTCCCCCCCCCCACCATATTCCAAAGTCTCTCCAACTAGTGTGTGTTGTACACGACCTGACCTGCCAGGTCTCGGCCAGCAGCATTGTGGCACTTTCCTGAGTGCCCTGCCCATCAGTGCCACGCTCACCAGTTCCCCGAGTGCCCTGCCCATCAGTGCCACGCTCACCAGTTCCCTGAGTGCCCTGCCCATCAGTGCCACGCTCACCAGTTCCCCGAGTGCCCTGCCCATCAGTGCCACACTCACCAGTTCCCCCTGAACGTCATCACACGCCACACCATTTACGAAGAGCAGTAGAAGTATACGGGATGCAGCAGTACGTCTACTGGCCCATGCGGCCCATGCGAAGGAGCTACTTATTCGATTAAACCCTGTACACTTGTAAATATTTGCTCATTAAAACTTGATAAATTACTAGCCTCAATAGTACTAGCTGGTAAGGTGTTCTACTCGTCTATCATACTATCGTCAAACCAGTGTTTTCTGATTTCCATTTATGGCAGAATTTATCTAAATTATTTTCTCGGCTGATTTTTCTCTGTCTCCTTCATTTTTCCTCATTAACCTATCTGTATGTGTACACAAATATCATTAAGCTGTCTTAGCTGTGTTTATTATAGTGCTGCCTTCGGCTTCCCCACACACATCCTTGCACAGAACATCCCCCGCCCCTCCTACCACTTGTCTTCCTGCCTAACTCTCAATTTCTGAATGTTGTTGCAATTATGTTTCATGGTCCTCTGCCGTGTTATGTGGTCCTCTGCCGTGTTATGTGGTCCTCTGCCGTGTTATGTGGTCCTCTGCCGTGTTATGTGGTCCTCTGCCGTGTTATGTGGTCCTCTGCCGTGTTATGTGGTCCTCTGCGGTGTTATGTGGTCCTCTGCCGTGTTATGTGGTCCTCTGCCGTGTTATATGGTCCTCTGCCGTGTTATGTGGTCCTCTCCGGTGCTATACAGTCTCTCCTCTCGTGTGTGACAGGTGGCTGCAGGAGATGAATCCCCCAAGCGGTGAACATTCCAATACAGACTGTGACCAAGAGCTCGGACATTCTCTCCAACACTATATTTGTGATTGTCCTGTTATCAATGACTTTAGACCAAACAGTAAGAGATAGTCTGAGCTCTGTGTATTGTCTTTGCTCCTGAATATTGGAAGATATTCCTGTGCATTCCACGCCCTTTCGAACCACGTGGACTGGACGGTAGATCGACGGTCTCGTTTCTTGTAGGTCGACGTTCAATCCGCCGACCGTCCAAGTAGTTAGGCACCATTCCTTCTCTTTGTCCTATACTAAATCCTTGTCCTCATCCCTTTTAAGAGTTGTATAGTCGTAATGGTTTGGCCCTTTCTTCTGATAATTACCTTACGTTACCCAGATTTTGCTAGTGAAGGCTAATAGATTTGAGTCTCATTTCTTGTCCTCTCCTGATTCCATGTATGACTAACCATCGTATGAGGTGGGTAAATTAGATGAACTCATACCTGGTTTTTGATCTATACACTGTAATCCTTCATACAGAACAAGGTAGCAGCACATTGCTGTGTATACTTAAACTTGTTAATAACAAAAGTTACATAGTCCTCTCCCGTGTTATATAGATCTTCCATGCGTGTCTCCTTCCTTTTCTTCGTGATGTCTATTGTCTTCTGATATGATTCACACCATTATTATGTAATTCATCCGGCACTTGTTGGAGCGTTCGGCTGCTCCAGCACCTTCCTCCTCCCAGTTGTCCACGTTCGGCTGCTGCTGCCTGCCCGCCTCTTCCTGAGCCCTCTGGTAGGTTAGGTTAAGGCACTCATCCTAACCTACCAGAGGTTAGGTTATACTCTCCACTTTAGTACGACAGTTTCTTGACGTTGGGGAGGCTGGCGAGGGGTGGAGGGGGCCGGGGGACGTGGGTGGCACCCCGTGCCGTTAGTGCAGGGGCACCCTAGTCATCTTCACTTCCTCATTTTCCCCGGTTATATTTATTTCATGGTCGGCTGAGGGTGAGCCAGGCCAGCACCTGCTACCTGGGACCCGCCTCCACTGTACCTGTGCTGCCCGCCTCCTCGCAGCTGGCCTGCTGTGTTCCACACCGGTGATTCGTCGTCGCTGCTTTATTAAATACAAATTTATGTCTTGGCTTATTCTTGTGCTCCCCAGTGTACGTTAGTGGAGTTGCCTCGTGTTAACATGTATCTAATGGAAGTCAAATATTAAAACCTTCATCTTTACATCTTTGTTAAAGCTTGGCGCATGTTTCAGGAGGCGGTGCTACCGTTACCTCCTGGTGGTGGTGCTCCTTTGACAGCACTAACAGCGGAGGAACATACTCCCCCCCTCCCCCTCCCTCCCCCCACGTGTGCGTGCACTCCCACACAACACACACACATGCCTGAATAACCTAACCGGTTTCAGTACTCGGTCTCGGCCTCCCCAAGCATAAATCCTGACAAAGATGAACGCATCTTGAAGCGTTGATGGCGTGTTCCTGGGCTCTCGTTAACAACGTGTGACGCCCGGCGTCACATGACAATTATTTACATTGTTAAACCTATTGCTTAGTGTTATAAGCAATACTTGCTTGTTGTTAAACTACTTATTATATATGGTGCTTAAACCGTATGTGTGTAGTGAGCATGTGTGGTGGTGGTGTGTAGTGAGCATGTGTGGTGGTGGTGTGTAGTGAGCATGTGTGGTGGTGGTGTGTAGTGAGCATGTGTGGTGGTGGTGTGTAGTGAGCATGTGTGGTGGTGGTGTGTAGTGAGCATGTGTGGTGGTGGTGTGTAGTGAGCATGTGTGGTGGTGGTGTGTAGTGAGCATGTGTGGTGGTGGTGTGTAGTGAGCATGTGTGGTGGTGGTGTGTAGTGAGCATGTGTGGTGGTGGTGTGTAGTGAGCATGTGTGGTGGTGGTGTGTAGTGAGCATGTGTGGTGGTGGTGTGTAGTGAGCATGTGTGGTGGTGGAGGTGGACAGTACCTGACGTTGAAGGCGTTGGTAACAGTCTTCTCCTGGGTCTGGTACTTGCAGCGGATGTGGTACCCGCGGCCCTGGTTGGTCACCAGCTTCCTGTGTGGTTGTACCACCACCGTGTTGAAGTATTCGATGCCGTCCTCCTGCGGAGAAGAATACCAAGAAGTCAGTTTGCGATGACCTAAAGCTGAAGTTGACCTCATGTTAGAGAATGGGGGAAGAAGTTCAAATATGACATGTTGGTGAGGTATGTGACACTGATGCACGGGTACCAGTCCATAACATGAGGGGAGGGGGGAGGAGCAGTCCAGGAAAGTACTTCAATAAACGAAGGCAAGTCGAGGGGCCCCAAGAGGCCGTCGCGGGCCCCAAGAAGCCGTTTGTTTCTCTGAAGACAGGAGAGAGGACTTTGACTTGTCTTTTGATGTCCATATTGAGACCTCATGCCCCTACTCTGGTACTGTAACGTCACTACCCTCCATGTTCACAGCCTGTCTCACGCTGCCTGCTGGACCAGTGTCATGAGGTGATCTTCACCTAGTGACATCCAGCTGCTTGACTCGTGCCTTGACTTAATTGATTGTTACTGGTTATGGAGATGAATATAGATAATGTTGTATATAAAACGCTGGTCATATAGGTGTTTATGTTCGCCCCAGTAAACTGGTGGGTTTTACCTACACTTTTACTTTACCCTATATAGACATATTTACATTTTAATATTTGAGGCCAGGATTATTGATGGAAAGCTCTAGTCCACGAGCCTTACTGTGGATGGTGACACGCCAGACGCCATCACAGAGGTTATGTTGACACTGTGGCAACACAAGGATGAAGAGCCTCTGAAGGGGGGGCAGTGTTGGCTGGACAAACACTCGCAGGTAATCGTACACGCCAATGGTAGGGTTTTAGTTTGAAAGGAAATACATTGCCTTGGACGATTCATTTCTATTTTTCCCCTGATATTGTATTTACTCGCAGTCTAGCATTTGTTTTGACTACGAAGCTTCGCAAGGCATAAAACAATGATTTGTGTCAGTTCCATCAGCGCTAAGAGTGTGGGCAGCAGCGTAGTGGGCTGAGGCCACCAGCTGGTGGTCCCGGCCACAACGCTCCTGCCCAACTGAGCCAAAGAAGGACCCGATTGGCTTTGTGGTCGATCAGATCACCACCGGAGAAGTATAACAGACGGAAACTAACCATTTCTGAGCTCATGGTGCTGCAGGACTTGAGTGGGAGCTTGTAGAGGACGGGACTCGTTTGTTCCTTGAACTCCGCCATACAAGAAGAGTTCTTGGACAGTCCTTTCGGGTAGATCATGCCATTGAAGGCATCGGAAGTGTCGATAGAGACGACGATATCATTACTGTTGCAGAAGATTCGAACACTTTTTATCGTCGCCTCCTTGCCTGCGGAAGAAAAGTAAATGGTAATGAAAACAGGTTACACAAATGGAGACATGGCCAAGATATGGGTAGTGTTTGTGGAAGACGTGTACAGTAATGAAGGCCGCTTAAGACCTGCTCAAATGAGTCGAAGACCTCGGCACAAACTCACGAAGGATCCCGAGGATTTTTTTTTTTTTTTTTTTTTGAGATATATACAAGAGTTGTTACATTCTTGTACAGCCACTAGTACGCGTAGCGTTTCGGGCAGGTCCCTGGAATACGATCCCCTGCCGCGAAGAATCGTTTTTTCATCCAAGTACACATTTTACTGTTGCGTTAAACAGAGGCAACAGTTAAGGAATTACGCCCAGTAAATCCTCCCCGGCCAGGATACGAACCCATGACATAGCGCTCGCGGAACGCCAGGCGAGTGTCTTACCACTACACCACGGAGACTGCTTAATTATTTTAATTAATTATTCTTAATTTAAGATGACTAGTTCCGCAAATATATTTGTTGAATTAGTATGAATAATTTAGGTCACTCACAAATGTCACTAACAATGTCACCATAAATTAACACCTTACTAGCCAGAGACAGTGAACAATAAACTACCTCTCACAGGATGCGTACAGTGTCTACAATAAACTTGTAGGCGCTGGGTGGGGGAGGGGGGGGGGGGTGGCATATAACAAAATCGTCCAAGACGCGACAGGGATGCTCCAATACTGCGAATTTAAATGACCCAAAGACAAGAAACAAATTGTAAACATATTATAATCAGACCTTCAAGCAATTATATGATCCACAAAATAGCTTCCAAACTAGTCAGTACCACTTGACTCGTGCTTCTATTCTAGTCGAGGTCGAGGGAGGGGGTATAGACGTACCGTGCGCGCTCCGTTAAAATCGTGACATTAACAGGGATTCCTAGGACTACTGCCGTGGACTACTGATTACAGACATAACAAAGTGCATAGTGACCCGCTGGAAAATTGAAAATAGTCATTAACAATAGAACTTTGTGTTAAATAGAGAATAAACGGGAGACCGCGTGTGAGCCAGTGAACGAGGCTTTGTGTACATGCGTGTATTAGGAAAAAAAACAAAAAAAAAAATAGTGAACGGTGATTCGTGGAACAGTGATGTGGAACGGGTATCACAACAACATATAAGTTGGAAGTGAATATTATAAATATAGAACACTAGAAATATAGAATAGTGGCAAGAGGCGGCATCAGTGGTTATAAATCGGGTAACTGGAAACTGGTGACATCAACCTGGGCCACAAGAGGTCACCTGTACTGACCGGGGGACCAGCCTCGCTACCTACGCTAAGTACCTGCCATAAAGTTTGAACAAAATAACATACATAATATTACAAATATACGATATACATATAATATTATAAATATTAAACATATAAATATATATACATATATATTGTTACAAATATACAATATACATATAATATTATAAATAGATATATACAACAAAACAAGGCAATATGGGAGTAAATAAACAAATTTGTGGCCACTGTAACAACTTCTTAAAGACGAAGGTAACGGGAATTGAATGTTATATCTGTAAGACTAGATTCCATTCGGCTTGTACAGGAGTGAGTAACACTACGGCACTGAGAGCTGGCCACTTGCTCTGGGTGTGTAAAAATGACCTGCCAGCTTGGAATATCCTAAAAAACCTTCTAGATAACATGACGCATGATCGGAAAACATCATTCATTGGAAGCCTACCAGCCATCCAGAAGGAGTGGGAAAGGAACAACAATTCTAATATACAAGGGGCGGAGGATATAGTCAGGGATGAAACTGAGGCTGAAACTCAGGAAGTTGTAAACTCTGACTCAGTAGGCCAGGATGTAGATGACAGTAAACTAGAAAGTGTAACAGACAGCACTGACAGCTCGATAGGTACAGACACTACGACGGTTCCCGATAGAGCAATTCAGAACAGAAGGACAGACTTATGCAAATTTTATGCAAAGGGCATATGCAGACATAGATATGCTGGTAATAAGAAAGGATTAGAATGCAGTTACCAACATCCCAAAAAATGTTTAAATATGCTTAGGAAAGGTGAGTGTCGATTTGGATCAATATGTAGGTTTTTCCATCCTGACATGTGCCAAACCTCACTGGAGGACAGAAAATGCTATGACCTCAGCTGCCCACACTTTCACGTGAAAGGCACGGAACGCTACATAAAGAGTGGCAAGCAGGATAATGAATTTGGAGGAAACTCTATAAATTTTTTATACCAGACCGGCAGAGAATTCAAAAGGAGCAGCATGGAGAGTGTATGGAACTGGATGCCAGATCCACTTGCATTCCAGAATTACAGATACAATTACCCACCGAAAGGGAACTACAACTACGACAGAAAACTGCCCTACAACAATCAGTACTGGTCAGAACAAACTCATTATGTCCACGAATAATGGACTTGCCGAAAAAGTCTCCCATTCAAACTATCACTAATAGAGTAACCTCATTCATCTTTGCCAACATACAAGGACTGAAAACAAGAACAAACAACAAAGTACAGTTCATAAATGGCCTCCTCACGGAGTCAAATGCAGTATTTGGAGCTTTCACAGAAACCCATGCAGGGGAATTGTTGGACAGTGAGATCTGGATTCCAGGATATAACCTATACAGGTGTGATAGGAAAATTAGGTCACATGGAGGAGTGGGTCTGTATATTAGGGAAGACCTTGTATGCTCGGTGTTTACGGGCTATTCATGCCCGTGCCACCGTCTTCATCAATCAATCAATCGTATGCTCGGAGCTCCTAAACGTTACAAATGAGGTGGTAGAGGTACTGGGATTAAAAATAGAGAAAATAAATTTAGTGATTATACTAATATACAAACCGCCAGATGCAACGGCTGAGGAATTCACAGAACAGATAAGCAAAATAGAGAATAGCCTTGATAATTTGGAGAACCCGATACCTGAAATTATCTTCCTAGGTGACTTCAACTTGCCTAGTCTCAGGTGGAAAATAGCAAACAATAATATTATACCAGGAAATCTATCAGGACCTAACCAACCACAGATTAGAGAACTACTTAGATTCTGTGACAAATTTTCACTCAATCAGCAGATATCGGAGCCAACGAGAAATGAAAATATTCTAGATCTGGTCTTTACGAACAATGAAGACATTATGAGAGACATTACGATATCAGATACCACATATTCAGATCACAAGCTCATTGAAGTGCAAACGACCATCAATACTCAAAATAGACCTAAAACGTTGATAAAGCGAGAGGGGCTATTCAGTAAATTCAATTTTAATAATAAAAGGATAGACTGGGAGATAATAAACAGGGAACTTACAAACATTCCATGGGGAACTGTTCTAAGTAATACAAGTTCTACAGAAGGAATAGAAAAACTGACTTCAGAAGCGTATCAAGTCTGTCTGAAACATGTTCCTTTGAGGAAAGCCAGAAAGAGATCTAACGTAGAAAGAGAACGCAGACGACACTATAAACGCAGGAAAAAAATAACGGAACTGCTTATGCAGACACGAATTTCCCGTCAAAGAAGGAATAATTTAAATAGGGAGATTGAAGAAATCGAGCGGAAATTGAAACACTCATATGAAACTGAAGAAAGGCAGTTAGAACAGAAAGCCATTCAGGAAATAAAGAACAATCCAAAATATTTCTTCTCATATGCGAAATCAAAAGCAAAAACCACTGCCAGTATTGGACCTATTCGTACAAGTGAAGGTTCATACAAGGAGGATGACAAAAAAATTAGTGAAATCCTAAAAAAGCAGTATGAGGACATGTTTAGCACTCCAATAAACAACATGAAGGTGGAAGATCCAGACAATTTCTTTATGCGGGATATTCAAACCCCTGTAAATATAACTGATATAAACACGAGCGCACTAAATTTTGAAAAAGAATTGAAAACATGCCCATGCACTCGGCCCCAGGTCCAGACTCATGGAATTCAATATTTATAAAGAAATGCAAAGTGCCGGTAGCACAGGCACTCAGTATAGTGTGGAGGAAGAGCTTTTTCACGGGGGAGATACCAGATGCACTTAAAGTAGCTGACATAGCCCCTCTACACAAGGAAGGGAGCAAAGCATTGGCAAAAAATTATAGACCAGTTGCACTAACATCGCACATCATAAAAGTATTTGAGAGAGTGATTAGGAGTCAGGTCACCAATTTCATGGAGACCAATGACCTTCACAACCCAGGCCAACATGGATTTCGAGCGGGAAGATCGTGCCTCTCACAGCTACTTGAGCACTACGACAAAGTCACTGAGGCATTAGAAGAGAAACAGAATGCTGATGTGATATACACGGACTTCGCAAAGGCTTTCGATAAATGTGACCATGGCGTGGACCTTAAACATAATACAGAGTACAAAACACAATCAAATGTACCCATAGTAGGAAAACAGCATGTAAAGGATTTGGGAATAATAATGTCTGACGACCTAACGTTTAAGGAGCATAACCAAGCAAATATTGCGACAGCCAGAAAAATGATAGGATGGATTACGAGAACTTTCAAATCCAGGGATCCCATCACAATGGTTGTACTCTTCAAGTCACTTGTGTTGTCCCGTCTTGAGTACTGTTCAGTACTCACTTCCCCCTTCAGAGCAGGAGAGATTGCTGAAATAGAGGGAATACAGAGAACATATACGGCACGCATAGACGCAATAAAGCACCTAAATTATTGGGATCGTCTCAAAGCCCTCCAAATGTACTCACTAGAAAGAAGACGAGAGAGATATCAAATAATATACACCTGGAAGATACTGGAGGGCCAAGTACCAAATCTACACAGTAAAATAACAACGTACTGGAGTAAACGATATGGAAGAAAATGTAGAATAGAACCAGTGAAGAGCAGAGGTGCCATAGGCACAATCAGAGAACACTGTATAAACATCAGAGGTCCGCGGTTGTTCAACGTCCTCCCAGCAAGCATAAGAAATATTGCCGGAACAACCGTGG